AATTGGGAAATGCCTTGGGGTCGCAGTCAACAGCAAGACCTCTGCGGAGGCACAAGCACACTTTGGGTTCATGGCAACTCCGCTTGGTATTGATAACCCAATGTCTAATGCGATAACTCGGGAGCAATTGGGGTGGACTCCCGAGCATCCGGGGCTTATAACCGATATCGAATCAGGTCTTTACTTCAGACGATGAGCATGCTGAAATACTGGTCTAGTTTTGATACCGTCGTATCCATGTGGTATCCATAGGGTGTGCTCTTGAATTCCTGTCACACGACGTTAGCCTTTAATCATATTCTATCAGCTACATATCCAAGGAGTAAAGAGAGGCGTGGTTGCATTATAAGAACATACATGACGAGCAACCCGGTGGCGAAACTCGGTGGCAGATTGCGTCACAAAGATCTAGATTTAGGAAAGTCACTTTCTTGCGATCATTATTCGACAAGACAAGACAAGATTGTGGGAGGGTTCCATGAATTCATGCCCAGACCTACGGATTAATGCAGGTTAGAAAATTCAATATAGTAGGCCTTCCGTCGTCAGATGGATTCCTCGTGGATGATCGGACACAAGGAGTTATAATATTTGAGATTGAAGTCTGCATCGAAATTCAGAAGAACGTTCCTTTCCAGGCAGCTGCCACCGCCTGTGCCACAAGCTTGTTTATTGCGATGCCAGGATGATAATCATTGAACCATAAGCATGACACTCCGTCAGAGTTGTAACAAGTCGCATCAGGTGAGCCATATGCCGTAGGATTTGCAATTGCAGTGTTAAAAGGCGCTGCAGTATCTACAATCTGTGCTGTGACGCCAGTGTTGGCAGACTTGAAGGCTGCCAAACGACTTGTTAGCAAGTTGTTATACTGGATAATGACAGCGTCCTCTGATGCTCGAGCATCCGCAGACTGTCCTAGCATGAGGGGTGTTTTCGTAATCGCTGTCAACAAGTTTTTAGACGATAGTCAAGTTTTCTTTGAGATATTTGGCTTACGCGGAACAGAGAGTAGAGCAAAATTGCGAGCACCAGCGTCGTAAATGATCTGAAGCTGTTGGAAGTACCGATCCATGATCGCATTGAGAACATCGGTCTCGTTACTCAACCAGTACGAGTTTCCTACATCATTTACTCCAATCCACACCCCTATCAGTGTGTTTGCCGCTGTCCATGGAGCATATGATGGCTTTGACGCAATATTGTTAGTAAATTCTGTGACCTGGTCAACGAAGCTGAGGACGGTTGTTGTGTATGGGGCCACTAAAGTTGCGTCTGTCGTTGCACCGCCGTACGCGAAGTTGTACGACAAAGTCAAGGATGTGTTGAGTTGCGAAACAAGGAATCCGACCCAGTTCAAACCACCACTTGCCGTCCAACCCGGTAGAGTTGGGTTTCCTAGAGGGTTGTCCGCCGAAGGCTTGGTTCCAGTGATGTCAAATCCCGTTTGGGAGTAAGAATCTCCACTTCTAAAGTTAGTCGGGGAATTTCCCTCACCACGCATAACTACTCACAAAGTGATTAAGTATTTAACGCCAGTTTGCGTGCTTCCCGTGGCTGAAGTGGTTGTGCTATGCGCTATTGAAGAGGTTGAAGATGGTTTTACGGAGCTGGACGATAGCTTCGATGTGGTCAAGGTTGTAGCGATTGACGAGCTTTTAGTTGAACTCGCTACAGACGTAGCACCGGGAATACATTGAACTTTTACGCGTCAAATACTGGTGGCTTCAAGTAATTTTCATGAATACCTACAGTAGTAAGGGTTGTATGACGTGCACGTTGAGCCCGAGGTACAAGAGATTGACCCTGAATAGCCAATTCCTCCACACTGGCCCCAAACAGGTACTTGACCAGTGACAAGTGTAGCGCAAACAATGCCCAAGAAAATGGTCTGGAAGACGGCCATTGTGAACAGGCAAGTTCAATTCGATTTCAAACCAGGCATTTGCCATACAAGTCTGCAGAATCCATAGTAAAGTTAGACATATTTATATGGTCTGACACCCCAACCCAGCACCACAACATACAATGGGCTATTGCCCTGTTAGTATCGGAGGAGGTCTTTCAGATCTGAATACTAGTGGCAAGCGTTAATCTCCCATTTTCTAGACAATTGGTGGAATCGGGCATGTTTCGCAGTTAGTATTTGTCCTCAACGGCGACTGCCAGCAAGTCTACTCCTTGTGGTATGCGGAGGTTGCAGGTGCCGCGATTAGAAAGGCTAGACCGGAGCGCGGTGCCGGTCAAGCGGATCAACGGTAGCTTCGACCCGTGCGACCTTCTCCGCGTCGTCATCTCCTACCCGATAGCTCCTAGTCCCAAGGGCCCAATTGTAAATAATTTGGTCTCCTAAGGGAATGATGTTGTCGTCGCGTTTGAGGAGATTGAAGCTCAAATTCGCCGACGACGCCACACTTTTTACACGTCAAGTACAAGTCTAATCGGATAACGAGGATCAAGATTCTCATTCTGGAAAAAATGTGAACCAGGTAATGAATACAATGTTATTCTTCATTCATGTCTGACGCGTGGTACTCGCTCGTTCGCTCAACCTCAGTCTTGCCATTGCAATCCCAAGCATTCGTTCACCTGCACCGTTATGCATGAACTCAATCCACATTATGGATTTCAAACCAGTGCACACATCCGCCCAAGACCGGAGCTCCGTAAGCTGGATCGTCTGGAGGAGGTACGCTGAATACCACTCCTGGTCAATCTCAACTGGGATTGACACGCCCCAGACCATCAGCAACCAAAGCAATACCAAAGGTGGTATGGTGATATCAGAGACTTGCAATTTTTGTAGAGCATTTCTGAATAAGCTGATCATATAGCTGTATCGAATCCTCATGCTTTGCCATTGCAAAAATATCGTCGAGGTGAACGTTAACATACCAGCCCTGATGACCTCATTCACAAGATCATTAGAGAATCGTAGACGAAGAAGTCGGTATGCTACAGAAACCATGATCTCATGAAACATTTCGGGGTCAATCTTTCTTTTTGTCTGATATGCGAGATTCGCAAATTTCGAAAACTCTCGGAGGTCTTCCCAAACGATAGCGAGCTTCTCATCTAGGCTCTTTGAAAATTTGGATATCATGTCATCCACTTGACACAGCCCGCCAAATATTAGCCCGCGGCTAGCCACGTAGGACTTCCAGGATATGGCAGTCAATAAGAAGAAAGGCTTGAACCCAAAGCTCAACGCGATTCCAAGATCCGTTCTAAGATCTATAAGATGTTTGTCGTGAAACCGGCAGATGAGCTAACCTACCTGCATATCTTAGTCTGAAGCATACCTCTGTTATCTTTCAAGGCATCAAAGCCACCACGTAATTCGATCATTTTACATAGACCGTTCATGTGGTGCAGTGCTGCATCACGATCCCCTAGGGCGCCGGCCGCCACCGCAAGAGTCATCACCACCATGATTGTGGCGTCAGATATCGATCTCATGTCGTCATTTGCCGCTAATCTCTCTTTGAGTAAACTTACGGTCCTAGTAAGATGGGAAAGCGCGAGCGGACCTAGTTTTCGGCTTGATTGCATATCTTGAAAGGTTTGTGTGGTAAAAATCATCGAATGAAGATACACAACGTCGCTCATGAGATGTCCGTACCAGATAGAGTCTCTCGGGTCAAATTTGACGCAGAGCTCAAATGGATACATTCCGTTCTTTATAAGCGTAAAAACTAGAAGATCTTAGCCAGGTGTGGCGCGCGCTCCAGCGCGACGAAAAGTTACATTTTATCACATCTTCCATCATGTATTGCTTCATATCCTCTGGGAAACGAAGCAATGACAAGTCGGAACCTATTTTTGAAGGAATAGGTGCAGCCGGAGTCGATTTTCGTTGATTATCTCCCGAGGTTCCATCGGCTAGATTGATCCAAGATGGTAGTTCCTGGAGGCGCTTCCGCCTGTTTTTCCCTTTCATGACGTGGCTTCTAATAGTCTTGCGGTCCTCTCCACCTGGGCGTTGTGGAGTTGTGGTGATGATGAACTCAACATCGACATTCTGTTCTCTCTCGCTTTCTCGGTCGCGATCCCGGCGACGTGAATATGGTTTCGTATCAGTGTTTTTCTTGCCTTGGGGCATCTTGAGAAGAGGTTAGGATTTGCTGTTGAGGAGGTTCTATTGCACCCGTGAACTCCGATTTAATTGGGTCTGCACCTCAAATTCGGAGCTGCAGAGTCACGAGTCAAGCAAAATGATCAGACAACACCTCAAAAGCCACCAAGTGCCACCTCGTAACCAATCAGCAACAGCTCAGCTGGTGATTGATTTTGAGTGAACAGGCTGATTCCATGATGTGAAAACCACGAATTGCATGGGAGGTAAGTACCACCGTAAGTACTGATGGCCGCTACTGAGGAGGGAGCTCGACATGAAGGTAGATGTCGGGACTGATAAACCATGCAGGTTTTGGAACAGGCTTGCTTGCGTGGATCCGGCGGCCTAATTAAGGTGTATCGCCTCACGCTATTCGTCAGCTTACTACTCAATGCCAAGACTGAATTGATGGCCGTATCGGGATTAGATCGCTTGTGAGATTCCTTGATGTGCCGAGATATTCATGCTCTTCTACTATTCTGAGCAGGGTAGCAACTCTATCATGGGGTTTTCACTGGACCAAAAATACATCTTCAAGCCCATCCAATATCATGCAACTAAGAAAATTAGCAAAGGTACGCGGCGGCGTCTCCGAGCGGGCCCGAATACAATGTCCGGTCACTGATGGTCTAAGCCAAGCATCTAGTCCAAAAGAGGCTTCTTATGAGAGCTTGGTGTTCATGACCGATTAAATACTACGGGCATCGAATTACCCGATGTGTCTTAAACTGGCGCCTTACAATCTTGCATATATATATATATATATATATAAGGCTCTTGATTGCGGCCGCTGACGCTTGCCAAGCTGCCAAACCCCATTTTCTTCAAGAGCCATAGAACCACCAGGTTTTTGAGGGTCACTCTTTACTAAACAACTCCAAAAATGGTCGGATCTAAGGATATACCACCTCGAACGGAAGGTGTAAATACGATCATCCTCAAGTCTATGTGCACAAAGATCAAGTTCCCCCCTAAAGACACCAACTTGACTAGCATGGTAGCCATCGTGACTGGCGCCAGCAGTGGTCTTGGTCTCGAATGCAGCAGACAGATGTTGTCTCTAGGGTTGTCTCGTCTCATCATTGCCGTTCGATCAGTAGAGCGAGGCGAAGCTGCTGCTGCCAATTTACGAAAAGCCTACCCCAAAGCGGTAGTAGACGTGTGGACATTGGAAATGGAGTCGTACCAGTCAATCCAGGATTTCGCCCATAGATGCGAAACCGCCCTCGTTCGCCTTGATATCGCAATCCTGAATGCGGGCCTCACCCAGTCCAAGTTTGGTATTGTTCCTTCTACGGGGCATGAAAGAACAATACAGGTAAATTATCTATCCACGATGCTTCTCGCCATCCTCCTTCTTCCGATCCTCAAGGAAAAGACTGCAAGTTCCCCTGGCCGCATGACCATCGTCAACTCTGGAGTATCGCTTACCGCGAAGTTTCCAAACCATGCGCAAAGACCGCTACTTCGGTCATTCGACGACACCAGCATTACACCCTGGGATCCCATGGAGCGTTATTACTCGTCAAAACTTCTTGGGCAACTCTTTTTCGCCAAGTTGGCTGATTATATCAAGGCTGATGACGTCGTCGTCAACATCATTGAGCCTGGATTGATCAAAGGCACTGGATTGCATCGTGATATAACAGGTATCAACGGAGCTATCATGGCTGCTTTTAAAGCAATAACTGCAAGAACTCTTGAAGAAGGCGCCGCAGTATACATTGATGCTGCTATTGTGAAGGGAAAGGAATCGCACGGGTGTTTCCTTATGGATTTCGATGTCAAGCCGTGAGTTGTAACCCTTTCACTGAACAAGGAAACCCAGCAAGGATTGTTAACTGATGTTTCTCGCCTCATAGTTTTGCCGCTTTTGTGTACAAGCCTGAAGGACAGCTCGCCATGGACCAATTGTGGGAAGAGACTATGGAAGAGTTCAAATTTGCGGGGGTTCAGGAAACATTGAACTCTCTTGCGTGAGCAAAACCAGGCTGTCTGTGGGTACGCTGCTATACACTCGTCACTTTAAGTTATAAGAATGTCAAATTTTCTATTACTCAATTGAGCACATATAGCTTCAGCTTAGGTGATCGTCTCGACAACAAAGGTGACATCCCCATTACAGGCACCTCTGAATGAGTGGCTTTAAGCTCGTAGATATGCCAGTCATGGAATCTTAAAAGAGGGAGCGTGTGCAGAACTTTACTCGCCAGTTCATTTACATGGTTCCTCGATAGGGAAATCAGCCATCTAGGGGTAGAACGGACTGAAGAATAAGCAGTGATACGCAATATGGAGGGCTCTACCCTCGCTCAAATAGTATTTCCCCTGAATAATATCGCCAATGGTCTTTCACAGTGGTGGAGTATCGGCAAACATATTAAGGAAACCATCCGGGTTTCTGGCACCCTTAGGTTTCACTTCGTCCACCTTCTTCCTGATTTCAACTTCTTCCTATGAAAGCCTCACCTTCAAGGCTCCCAGATTCTCCTCCAGATAATTGATATGCTTGGTTCCTGGGATTGGTATGATGTCTTCTCCTTGAGCCATGAGCCAAGCAAGCGCTAGCTGCCCGGGGGTGCACCCCTTCTTATCAGCAATGGCCTTGAACTTCTCCACCAATTCCAAGTTCTTCGGAAAGTTCTCGCTACTGAATCGGGGCCAATTACGCCGAGAGTCATCCGGTTCGAAATCGTCAAGCGACTTGAAACGACCTGTCATGATGCCTCGGCCAAGAGGGGCATAGGCGAATGTGGATACACCAAGCTCACGGCATGTGCTTAGTAGATTTGTCCCTTCTTCTCCTTCGATGTCCAGATCCCATGGATTGTACTCCACCTGTACGGCGTGGATTGGATGAATTGCATACGCTCGGCGTAAGGATGTAGACGAGCATTCAGAAATACCAAAGTATTTGATCTTTCCTTCCCTAGAGACGCGGTCAGTATGATGTTGCTCCTTAAATATAGCCAAGCACCTACTCCTTCAATTGAACCAGAGCTTGTACCGTTTTCTCAATCGGAGTTACCTCATCAAGGCGATGAATGTAGTATAGATCAATGCTCTCTACGCCAAGTCTAGAGAGACTCCGTTCACATGCTTCACGGCCGTACTCGGGCGTGCTATCAATGACCACACTGTAGCTACCATTCTCGCCAAATTTTACTCTCAGGCCAAACTTTGAAGCGAGGAAGATATCCTGTCGGCGCTCCGGATGTAGTTTGAACCACTTGCCGACGATATCTTCACAATCACCGTATGCATCGGCGGTGTCCCATGTTGTGTTTCCTAGCTCCCAAGCACGGTCAAGCAGAGCAAGACGCTCCTCATCGGTGCTGTCGATCCGTAAATATATCGTGAAGGAAAATAGAAGGACAGACCACTGACCCAACAGATCCATATGCAGCCCCGATGCCCATCAAACCAAAGCCCATTTTGTTGATAAGTGGGCCATCTTTTCCCAGTTTCCTCGTGGGAAGCTGGACTGGTGGGGCCATTGTGTTTTGATGGAGAAGCTGTCTTGGAGAAAACCTGATCAATATAGACTTCGATACGTTAATATGGCTGAAGAAACCTGGACCGAGTGATACGGTTTAGTATTATTCTATACTATGGCCTTGAGGCAAGTGCCCTTTTATAGGACACTTCTTGAAGTCGAACCAGAAACACGATCCATAATCCATTATGCATCATGATCAAGGGAGTGGGACATGGCATCTACCTGTGTGGACCATTTGCGAGCGATGGCTTAAACTAAAGCGTCCCCGAAGCGAATCATGATGCAGTATGCCAGCCCATTAGTGTCCCACGGCGACCCGTGGGCTTCCACAGTTGTAGACTTGACTTTATGCACCAAACGTGAATCGTCGCCTTAAGACCGGGAATGCGGCCGCATCGGCCGCACCCACCACCCCTAGGCCCTGAGCCCCAAAGCGATGACAAAGCCCGTGTCGACCTGCAATGCCCGGGTTCGAGCAACGACAGAACGCGGCTCGAAACGATATATCCGAGCCCGAAACTGCGATACTGCATCTCAAGTTTCTTGCTCTCTTTTATGAAATGGAATTCAATTGGCTACCGCTTGCCACTGGTCGCAAGCCTTTGAAAGCGAAGAGCCGTTCTTCTAGCCTGTGAGCTACTAGGTAATGGAAGGATTTGCCAAGTAACTACCTCAAATCACTGGCGTTATTAGCAAGTATCGTGTGCCAGGTTCTGTCCTCCAGATCATAATACAATTATCATGAGGTACCTTAGTTCCCGAGAGGATGCCGGCTCGAGATAGCCGTATAGCGGCACATAGAACACATATCATCCCGAAGCTTGGTTGGACAGCCCTGAAGACACTCTGCTTTGTCTCCCTGTTTATAAATCTTACATGATGTCGAAAGCATGTCCAGTATTCGTAGACTCCGCAATGCGACGTCCAAGTACAACAACTATGGTCACGGATCTGAGGACCTCATCCTCAAAATCCACGACGTACAGCAGGCAATCATGTGATACATATTTCCCTGTCTTTGATGTTTGCTAGCCTGTAATGGTGGTATTTACCTCAACAAGACAACCCACCGTATAGATCGATCCGGACTTCAAGCTATGATATCGGGCTAGTTGCCGATGCCTCCTGAAGCTGACCACTCCCATGCCCGACTGATATTACAGTGCCATGAGAAAAACGACAAGAATTTTCACTGCTCGACATCCTCCGCATATCCCTCCTCCTCTTCTTCCTCGTCATACCCTTCAGCCTCGTCTTCGTCCTCGTCACTGCTTCCTCCCTCCCCCTCACTCTCGCCTTCGCTTCCCGGGTCGTAATCTTCCTCATCCTCCTCATCCTCTTCGTCGATAAGTTGCTGCTCCGCTTCTAGCTGCGCCTTTTGAAGCTCGGTCATATCGTCGTCATGGCCATTTGCGTCTGCTCCATTCGCCGCATCGCCCTTCTTAGCCCCCTTTGCGTTCTCTGCCAGCTCCCTCTTCGCCTTCCTCCTCTCCGCCATGCTACGGTCTTGTAGCCCGTGCCTCTTGACCCATGATTCATCGATACCAGCATAGTCTTCCTGGTCGAGCATGGCGAACTCCACCTCTTCCGTCTTCTCCTCTCCAGCTTTGTCGCTGACATCGATGTCGACAACAATATTGAACGTTCGTTGCAGCACGCTGGTGTAACTGACGGCTTGAATGCGATCAATGGGCATGAATAGCAGGGGCTTCTTGAAGCCCCACAGGATGCCGTTGGGAAGGAAGAAGAGGTAGCCATCTTTGCTCCCTCTGAAGCCCTTGACGTGCACAGCACGTTCATTGGGTCGATGTGCCTGTCGCTGGACGCTGTGGAAAATCCGAGGATCTGTCGCTATGATCTGCGTGTGTTTGTTCCCGGCTGTGCGTAACTGGGTCGTGATCGCCCAATGAAGAAGTGACGAGTAGGAGTCGGAGACCGCTGCAGCAGCGCTGGCGGCCGAGCCGCCTACAGAGTTTGCTTTGGGGGCGGACGAGGGCACAGTGAATAGGAAAGGCTCGATATCGCTGGGTGGCGCATTCTTGATCGCCGATGCGACACAGGTCCCTTGCGGGAACAAGACGTAGTTGTATTGGAGCTGAGCTTTCTCAGGGACGGGAACATAGAAGGCATACTCTGCAAGTCAGGCTGTTTAGCTCTGCATCATCGGGGGCGTAGTCCATGTGTAACGTACCAATATCTTTCCACGGGTACACGATGCCCTGAACAGGCGTAGTTGTCCCAGATGTTCTCGCATACAGATATGATTGTGTGAAGCAGATGTCATACTTCTTTCGTTGTGGTATGGATACAGAAATCTCCTTGATCTCGAGCAGGACAGGCTCCTTGGCAGCAGACTCAGCGAGTTTGATGAGATTATAACCCGGGGCGCCATTTGCAGGCTGAGGCGAAGGCTCGCCGTTTGGTGGTCCGCTATCGACTCTCCGTCGTTTCGCTGCAGGCTCGTCTGGATGGGGTAGTTGCTCGAAGAGGAAGGAAGCGATATCGTTGAACAAGCCGACCCGTGCGGGTGTATCTAGTAGGACGTAAGATGTCAGTATATGCCCAAAGCGCCGCAAAGTTGATGTTATCCCATGTCGATTGAACAAGACAGCATACGAACCTGCTGCTTCCTGAATGCGGCCGACTAAGTCGGGTCGCGCATGAAACACGAGGCCTAACCTCTGGGTATCCAGAGGAGGCGCGTCCGCCATCTCGTGAAGGTGCCGGTCGCGAGCTGCTTGCTGCAGTCTACAGTCGAGAGGCTTCACAAATGTAGTGTTCGGTGGTGAGGCTGAGCTGAGTTGAACAAGGCTGCGCTGGGCTGCGCTGAGGTGATTTGCACGATGATCGATCGGAAGAGAGTCGCAACAGTTGGTATGAGAGTATCGTAGCGGTACGGTCCACCGGCACTCAAAGCTGCTTGACGCGTTGATGGGATTGGTGAAAGGCGATCCTCCTACGACGGGGCTGGCCTTTACCTGTTATGTCGGTAGACGGGATCCAAAAAGTAGCCAGGTACTTAAATCAAGGCCAGGCAAGCAAACGCAGGCAAGGCAGGGAATATAGGTACTTCCAACTTACTGACTAGTGGGTTGATCATGTGACGCAACTTTGGCGCTACACCTGAGCAGAATGCCTTGGTGCCAGTACCTGAATGGGCCAGGGAGGAGATTCGTTCACTCATTCATAAGTCACCGAAGACAGGCGGCAGAAGAGAAAGGAGACGAGAGACTGCGGAATCATCGCTTGTATTTCTCATTCGCTTATGACTTTCCATAACGTGTATGAGTGTTCTCGCTCTAACCTATCCTGCCGGCCAACTTTACACTACATAGATACCGGTTTGTAGCACTGACAGTCTAACACCCTTTTCCAATCCGTCTCTTGATTCTCTCTTCTGTTGTTGCTCAGCCATACTCAGCCATACTCAGCAACACAGCACCCTAGACGAACGATTGCCACGATCGTGAAGACCCGGTCATACAATCTCATGATCCTTGGATTGGGTATGACAACAAGATGATTCCTCAGAGAGTTACAATCAGCGGATTGATGCTGCAGCAAATGTATCAAGATATTTATAAAGAGAATAATCTCTTCACGTCCTTGGGGCCGCTCAGCAGCTCTTTTGGACCCAGCACCTCTTCTCTGTAGTCATCGTAAAGCTTCGTAGCAGGTGTCTAGCATTAGGTTGTCAATGCATGGTCTCTGCTAGGGGTAATCATCGCACAGCTTACCACATCCATGTCGTGTGTATTCTTAAACTTGCATTGCTCCCCAGCAGGGCAATATCCCCCGTCATATATATTCCTACAATGGTGGCCATTGACACAATCAAACCGTCGACATGACTGCATGGCGTTGCAGGGATTGCCACGGCTCATGTGTCGTTGGTAGAGCTTTTCTTCCCCTTCGAGAGGCTCGCCATGCTCGTGTCTGCATCTACTGCCGTTGACGCAGCTGTATAGTTGTCAGCGGTTTTTTTTCCTTTCGAGTCATAGCTGAGAATGAGATAGCAGCAGCTGATTCTCTTGGAACTACTCAAAGGTGTTGCCCTTCTTATGTTAGAGTAAAGCGGGAGACAACTTACAATCCATTTAGATGGTAGAAGTTGCAGAAGTTTCTCCCCTGCCGTCTTGTCTTCTCCTTATACGAAGCTTCTGCCATGGGATCGGCAGGTCGCAGTCTTTCGTCCACTCGATCGCGATCTGCATTGAGCAAAATATACTTCTCATCAGGGTCCCTCTCCATGGCCGGCGCAGCGTAAGCATCTCGAGGCGACCCCGTTTCAGCTACAGTGGCGCGCCGTTCTCTACTATTAGCAGTGATAGTAGAGAATGGCAGTGATGCCGGTGCAGGATTGGCGTAAGCGCCATTTGCAACCGGTCGTGGCTGGCTATCGGGAAGAGGTTCAGAACGGAAAACAGCCGGGAAGCTGATGCGAGACAGGCCGAGCGCTGTGAAGCCGCGCTGTGCTGCTTGCGTCTCAATCAGAGTCAGCTTCTTCGCGACGGCATCGTCCCGCTTGTATTCCTCCAAGAAGTTGAGATAGCCGTTGTCATTGCAGGGACCAAAGAACAGGTGTTTACACTGGTGTAGCCGAATCATCGCCCGCATCATCTCCGTGATCTTGTGGTCTGCTCTCTCCTTGCCATAACCTACATCTACGAAGGAGAAGAGAGGCTGCGAGAGACCGAAACCAATGCCAAAGGATGTTACGCTATTCTGAGGATCTCTGATGATACCGCAGTTCCTGAGTTTCTTGTTGAGGCCGTCAGCCCCGAGGAATACTTGGACAATGATCCGCCAATCTTCAACGTTGGCAGCAGGATATTGCCTTTGGAGATAGCTCTTGATGTCGGCTCGGAGTTGATAGGCAGCTTGGGAGCCACCGTCTTGGCCCTGGGCGATGAAGTCATCCTTAAAATAGGCACCATCACCGTCAATGGCAGCATATACGAAAGAATTGGACTCCTGCCGCTTGTTAGCTGTAAGGGAATCCAGTAAGAGAAGAAGGGGTGCCGCCCACGGTGACAAGCTTCAGCTGGCGAAGCTCGGAGTCATGTTCTTTGGCAGTCTTCTGCCACATCAACCGAGTTTCGCGTTCACTCTCGTACTCGGCTTCTTTATGCTCGTAGAGCTGTTTCAAGTTATTATATTTAATGATAAGCTCCTGGACCATGTCATTGCGATCTTGGTCGAATTTGCGAAACGCATCAAGTCGCGCGAGGTACATGTCCGACAACTCGTCGTCGTCGCCGAGCTTGCGCTTCTTGCTGTTGTTAGCAGTGAGATCATCGTCGTGGCGGTTCATCTTGATTAGTTAAATATCATTATTATAAGATATTAAATGTGTTTTGAATTATAGGCGCCGAGAATATTATAACGCTTGCTGGCTTCGTCGAAGGTCGTGTGAGGGTTTATTGACGCTGAAAACTAAAGACAACTTCACCGCGCAGATGAGAAAAGTAAGATCATCCCGAATCCTGATCATTCTGCGCAGTGGTGGGTTCGAGCGGCGGGCCTGGTTATAAATAGCTGAAATTGCACTTAGTAAACAATCATCTAGGTGACCCAAACCACCTGAGGCACCTGTGCTTTAGTGGGCAACCATTTCTCTAGCGGGTTAGATTGGCTTAGAACCCAGCCCGCCCGCAGCGAAGGTCGATAAGCTCCCGGGGCCCGATTAAGAAATTTCGCGATTTGGAGTCTCGATAGATATCTGGCGTGCATCACGCAACATCATTGGACCTCATCTTGAATTCTCCCCTTTTGTCGCCCAACATGGTCTCAACATGCAGCAAGATCTTGTAGATCTCGCCTTCCTCAGCATCAACGAAGAGAGTCATCATCAGCCTCCTCTCTCAGCAACTACCGCCACAATGAAAGAACACGCCGCTGGAGCAGCCGACGACGCCGCGGCGGCGCAATGTCCCGTCGACCACAAATCTCGTGAGGCCTGGATGGCGCAGGCCCGAGCTGCCCAAGGAGATCTTCCGCCAAACCCACACGCACAACCGCACCCACATGCCAGTTACCCGACCGCGCAATCATCACAGCCGTCAGGCAAAGACGCCGCCTCGACTCCGTCCTGGGGCTGGCGCATCCCCTTCTTCGGCAGCTCCCCTGCCGCCACCACCACCGCACCCCCGAACCTGCCCTCGACAACCTCATCGCCGCTCGGCACTCAGCGGGAGGTGTCTTCGATCCCGCGATCATCCACGCCCGGCGAGTCATCCTGTCCGGTGAACCACGAAGTCGAGACGGGCTCGGACGAGAAGTCCGGGAACTGGATCTACCCCTCTGAGAAGATGTTCTTCGACGCCATGAAGCGCAAAGGCCACGGCGCGGAGGCGGCGGACATGAGGACGGTGGTTCCGATACACAATGCCGTGAACGAGAAGGCGTGGGCCGAGATCAAGGAGTGGGAGAAGCCTTACGAGAAGGATGGAAGGTATGTGCTTCGCTGATTCCAAGTCAATGTCAATGTCTTGGGAGCGCAATTCCCCCTTAAATATGCTAATGCGTCTTGTTGAATAGCTGCCCCGGTGGCCCGAGGCTGCACTCCTTCACGGGCCTCTCGAGCAATATGTCACCCAAGGCTCGACTGAATACACTCCTCGGCTACACAGCGCCTTTCGATCGTCACGACTGGGTTGTGGATCGCTGCGGCACAAAGGTCGAATATGTCATCGACTTCTACGCAGGTAGTTCCAAGGCTGGCGGAGGACGGGCCCAGGGAAAGGTCAGCTTCTATCTTGACGTCCGGCCGAAGCTGAACAGCTGGGAAGGCGTCAAGATGCGGGCTGCGAGGGCTCTTGGCATCAACTAGCCATGCATACGCACTGGAGACAAAGCAGAATGCTTCATCGTGTATATCGTTGTAATATTATACTAGGATCTCTACTACTCCGTGATCTGGTCGGGCAGGTCTTGGGTTTGGCATAGCGCAAGGAATTCATTTCAATGGACACACAATTAGACGGCGCTGAATGGCGCAGCTGATGGTTGAATCGTTCATTTCTTTCAATGGTATCTCACAAGAAAAAGAGGTATCTATCTCAAGATCCTTGACGTCTCAGTCCTCAATATTTCGTGACAGAGACTGGGCGCCGCTCGTATAGGCAGACCTAGCAGGACCTAACACCACCAACGCCGATGTAATCAAACACGCCCTAATCATGCTTCGTCTCTTGGGGATGGCTCTGGTGGAATGGGCCGAAATGGTCTTTCTCGTTTATGGCGGGTACTGGGAGCACACAATCAGCTAGGAGGTTCTCTCACACTCAATATCAACAAGAAACAACATGATCATCAAGCTCATAATTCGTATCCTCATGATGTCTTCATGGTACCTGATTTGAGACGAGGCACAGCAAGGGAAAGAAGGACAGAAGGAAATAGGAAGGAAAGCTCGAAGAGGGAGGGGAATCAAGGAGTCTACATGCCCTTCTTTCCGTCACCGCTGCGCACTCTGATAGGGCTGCGGGTCTCGAGTGCTCCATTTTCCACCTCCCATCCCTTGGCCTTCAGAGCCTCCATGATTGTCGACTTGGTTTCTCGATTGGTATAGCCAGCAGGGAACTCGTTCTCGAAGTGACTACCAAGGCCATCCTTCAGGGCAGTGTCGAAGTGATAGGCGTGAGCGACTGCGTCAAACCAAGCCATTAGCGGGTCATTCACGGAGTGCTTGCCCTCCTTGAGCGCAATCTTGATGTAGAATGTAGGGCCCCAGTGCCAGATCCCCATGAAGTAGTCCTCTGTATCGAAGATGTATCTGTGGTAGCCCCAAGGCTTGAAGGACATCACGTTGCCGTATCCTCCGAACTCGCAGAACCCCGAGTACTCGCCGCTCTTGGACGACATGTTGCCGCGGCCTTTGCGCAAAACGCTTTCGCGCCTAGCCACCTCTGCGGGAGTCAAGATGGTATTGGACTCGAGCCACTCGCGAAAGACGATGGTGGCACGCTGACGGTTGAGGGTGCGCATCTTAACACACCGTACACCGCAGTAGTTGGTGAAGAGATGGATGGAGACCAGAATCACCATCCACGTCCAGACGGCCTTCTTGCCCTCGACTATGCGGACCAGGAGGGTACCGGCCAGCATCCCCATAAGACTGACGATCGTTTCCTGGGAAGCCTCCTTGGCATTGAGCTCGGCAAGATTGCCCGTCTTTGCGAAGTGCGCAGACAGGGTAGCTTTGCTGGCGCTAGCGGCGACTCCGCACAGGGAGCGCAGAATGGAGGCAGTGACCATGACGGTGATCTTCGGGAAGAGGGGCAGGGCAGGCAGCAGGAGGTCTAGTAGCTGACCGCCATCGTTGAAAATATCAGCAAGAAAGCGGTAGTATTTGCACTCTGGTTCAATGGCCTGACCCATCCTATGAGCGAACAAGATTGTCGCAAAACGGGAGAATGTATCCTGGATGATCTTGAGAAGCAAGGCCGCAGTGGGCGACTGGGAGGCATTTCCAACGCCGAGACCCTCAAGAACAGCGCGATTAGCGAGGAGGGAGGTGATGGAGGAGGAGAATGCTTGTAGGGAGTCGTAGGTCTGGTAGGCGAGGTAGTCGTCGGTGACGGTATGCGGGTAGCCGGCGGGGAGGAAGGCGTAGAAGATGGCTTTGGCCAGCGGTGTCTTGGTTTTCTCCTGTGATGCTTGTCAGATTTTCCCTTGAATCCATGTATTTATCAAGTCCAGCACAGCAGTCATGGATGGCGGGAGAGGCGCGGGACTCACAATCTTGAGGCTTTCCTCTTTCTCGGAGTTGGTGTATGTGCAGAGCACATTGCCCGACTCGTCGATGTCGGCTAGCTTACTCATGATGAGATGCGTAGCATTAGGAGGGCGATATTATACACCAGTCAAGTCGATTGACGAACACGGAACAGGATTGGTAGATCGTCTAGTATGTCAGAGGATAACGGCAGAATACGGACGGCAAACGAGTGACGAGATGCGGCGCGTGGAGGCGATGGAGAGCTTGATCATCTCATGTTTGGAGAGGTGCTGGTTTTTATTTGTGCGCAGCAGATATCAAATCGCTCCTTCGTTCCGGTTCTGACTCGATCCTGGCCAAGACAGGGGAGGTCACAGAGGCAGGCGAGCTGTCCGTCTGCTGTTACTTCAGATTGATAATGGAGGCGCGCCTGAAGAGAGATTGATGCTTCACATTTGTAGTGGATTAAGGGAGGACCGGAATTCGTGGGTTGGGAAGAGAGCTTAGAGAATGTAGGAAGGTAGCTCGTAGGTAAGCACGCAGGGCACGTAGTCAACACAAAGATTGTCGATAATGTCCTGTCCTGGTCTCGTTGGTAAGATGGAGGAGGATCGACGTTTTGGGAGGAGGCTGAGTTGCGTATCCTTTGCCAAGTGTGGTGAGGTGTGGTGAGGTCGAGCTTATTAGACCAGGCAGGTGTTCAAGGTGCGAGTGACGTCGCGCCGCGCGGTGGGTAAACGGAGGCGCTGTTCCTGGGGAAAGAACACCTATGGCAAGCCCCCGCCAGACGCTAAGATAAGCGGCCCTGGTGGCCCGTGGCATCCCAAACCGCAAAAACATCGGTGCTGTAGGTAAACATTAAACATTGACGGCATGCGTGCTTCCAGGTTGCCGGATATCACTACTGATACTGATGTGACGGCAATGACAAGAACAAGACATTCAACAATGTCACCGATACTTGACACTATGTGGTGCCATCGAGTGGCATGAGCTTTGATTGCGTCTATAAATGCAATTTGTCTTGTTAACCGCCCCGACTACCTAGGTAGGAGGCCGCGCACTTGATCAGCGATGGGCTAACATCACGCTCCTAATGTCTATTCCATATACAGCACTTCGAGTGATCGCCTCGGGGTATTCTTGCCGAGCATTTTGAAACAAAGATCTTCCATAGGCACGTCATCAATGGGATCACCTGTCTGCTTCACCGCTGGGCGGGTTGTCCGCTTTCCGTGACGAGATACTCGTCCGTCTTCAACGGCCCCTCGCCCACGCCCGTCATGATGACTCTACTGATTCCACCCTGCAATTGGCCCGCGGCGGCGTCGTCCACCACCACGTCTGACTTCAGGCTGGCCGCATTGGCCCTCCAGCCACCCACAGAGCTGCCGACCAATGCGTAGAACGTCCCGACCACGGCGGCCTCGTCTTGCTCCAGGTAGTACACCACGCAGTTCGGGCCCGCGTCGAACGTGTACGCCGCCACGGTCTTGCCGGCGGCCTCGTTGATCTTCTCGACGGCGCGCACTGCAGCCCTCGACACGTCGTTCATGTAGAAGATGGGCGGGTACGTGTCGGCGCAGCAGGCGTGGAACGAGTTCGAGTCGCGCATCGTCACCTCCGCAAACGCCGCAAAGTCCCTGTCCCGTATCGCCTTCTCCATCGTGTCCATGTTCGCCGGCACAATCTCCGCCACCCGCTGCTTGAAGAGCCCCGACGTGGCCACCGTCTGCTGCATGCCCGAGGTCGAGCCCACCGCCTTCTTCGCGGCCGATGCGACCAGGATCAGCGCCCGCATCTCCGGCCATTGGCTGGCCGTAGCAACCTGCTCTGCCAGCGAGTCTGACCCGTCCTCCTTGCTGCCCATGCGCCACGCCACATAACCGCCAAACAGGCTTCGGCACGCCGAGCCGCTGCCTTGGCGGGCGATTAGACTGAGCTCCGCGGGGGTGTCTGGCAGCTCGTACAGGTCGGCAATGGCACGGACGAGGGCGGCAAAGCCTGCGGCTGAGCTTGCCAGGCCGGCGGCGGTAGGGAAGTTGTTCTCGGAGACGAGGCGCAGGGGCATGGTGGAAAGCTTGGGGAGCGAAGAGTCCTTCTCCTCGAGAGCGGCACGGCGGGCACGCAGCGCACGCAGGCAGGCCTGTGTCCTGGCGCCCGAGATGTCGGAGGATTCGCCATTAAGGAGCAACGAGTCGCCTTCGGAGCTGGAGTAGGATGCGCTGCAGGAGGCGGTGGTGAGTGTGCGCAGGTCGGCCTGGGAGAGGGTCACGGAGAGCGAGGAGTTGGTAGGGAGGTTGAGCTTGGCATCACGCTTGCCCCAGTACCTAGTCGAAGCAATGTAGTCAGCATTTGGCGATAGAAGATCAGAAATAGGAGGCGGGGGACTTTGGGAGCATACTTGACCACGGCAATGTTGACGGGGGCAGTGGTGCTCGCCCGGTAGACCTTGGTCTCGGAGGCCATTGTTGCCCTACGGGATGCGGGAGAGGGAGGCTCCTGGGGGCAATTGGCTACCTGCGAACAACCGGACCCTTGAGACCAGCAAGCAGGCCTCTATGTTTTGAAGCTGGGGTGAATATCACCGGTGGTGCCTGAGATGCTTCAAAGTCTCGTGGTCTACAAAGCAAAGCTGGTGGCGGTCAAGAATATCAAAATGCTAGCCGCTGAAGAGCCCAATGGACACGCCAATGGCTGCAGGTGGATGGTGGGGTCAAATCTTGGTGGGCTGCCCGCCGTCCCCTATCGTTACTCAAGGTCCTGCTGCATGCCACATTAGGCCTAGCGCAGGGGTCTTCTGTTCCTGGCCTAATAGTAGACTCTCCTTGGACCTACCTGTGCCTCTCCAATCATCAACGTTCACTGAGTTTGGTGCGGCCAGATTATCTGGGAATCGCGGCTATCCTTGCTCTTCCCAGCAGGAGGGCTAGACTAATACAAGATCCGCATGTGAGGCGCCTTGACTTGTGACGCTCTCCACTGCTTGACTTCGATCTTACCATCACTCCGAGCAACCTTGAATATGTCATTTCTTGATCGGCAATATTCAGCATCTCCTCCTGGTCTTGGGGTGAGATTCTATCATATCCCTAAGAATCGGGGTTTTTTTCCCATAAGAAAGAGACCTGCCAATCTTTTACATGGATCGGTACAATCCAACCAGGATCAGAGTCATGTGAGCCACTTGCTTTATGGGGGTTCTCTATCTAGGCCGATGGGCTGCGATACAACTCCACCAGCGTCACCAGACAGGAAGTTGCATCGAGCCTCAGGGTGTATTAAGTAGCAAGTAACAATTATCCGTCCTTTCCATGAGGAATGGCAAGTGGCCATTTAAATGACTAGCCTTGTATACATTGATAAACGTGCTTGTCTGAAAGCTGGTAGAGGCAACTTAGCACCTCGGTTTGGTTGCAGTGATGGGTTTGTATTTCCTTCGAACTTCAAGGATTTGAAGCCGTATAATAAATTGAAGAAATAAGAAGTTGTCGTTCAGTAGGAACACCTCGTAGCATTATATTTTATAGAGGAAGGACGACGTAATTTCACTTGTCCTCATATGAGCGCCATTTTAACCGGGTTCACGAACCGTGCCTTGTTCAATATGACCTCCACCTGTGGCTCCCTACCTACGGACACATCTCCACCGATAATCTTCCATCCATGTGAGGGAAACTGACGTAGAACAAATATCGAATGGCCTCCTCGAAGAAGGGCAATAAAGTCGCCCTTCTGTATTTCTTTGGGAGCAAGGCCCACGATTCCATCCGTGGTGATAAATAAAGATTGGCCCTCACATGTTATTCTAAATCCCTCTACACTCTCGTCGTCGCTGACAAGCCTAGATAGCTTTCCTCTACTAGTGAAGAGTTGGTCGGCATCAATGTCATCGAGCTTGAGCAAATCTAGATATGGTCAATTTGGCATTTAGATGAAGGAGGTTCAAATTTGCTCACTTTTCATAATTGTGGGTGGTATTTGAGATCGAAGGCACAATGGGGCTTCAGGAACAGTGTCAAGGAACTCGACATTTGGTGACATAGCCTTGCATAGATGCCAGTACTCGCAGAGAGAGCTCCACTGATCGCATATCTTCTTTTCACTTTTGAAGTAAAATGCGCTGCCAACCTCTTGGATTTGAGACACTAACCGACCTACCACATAAAGCCGGAGAGGGTAGATGTCAGGAGAGCTTTGATGTACGATTTCAAAGCATTGCGATTGATGCCATTCTAAATATAGTTATAGTGATGCTTCATGTGATGGATATGGAAACTTACTAGATAAATGGACATTGTTATAATGGTCGTTGTTGATGGTGATGTAGTATTCCGCAATGTTGCCACCTCCATGTTCGTTTTCGCGAACCTTTTCACAGTAATTACTTTCGTCTTTGGAGGCCACCTCGTCGTTGTATATATTGGGAGTGGTCCACATTTCCTGGTGTACGTAACCAAATATCTCAAGGCTCGGTAAGGGTGACCGTTGAGAGAAATTGGGACACCATGACGGCATCTCCAGGTTGTGCGGGATTCGTGTAAATAGTAACAAGACAAGACCAATTTCATCCAATAAAGAGCGGCAAAGGTTGATATATAAGTTTTGGTCTGGTTGGTCATAGTCAATCAAATCTATTAAGTCAGCCGTAGGATGTAGTAAACCGAATAAAGCGAAAATGTAATCCTTTGGATTGGATGCTTGATAATTTCTTGTTTCGGATAATAGGTACCAAAGTGCTCGATGAGGACTTTCAATCGACGTATCCCGGTTCGTGTATATGACATATGGAGCACTAGGGAGAACCAGGCGATTGTTATAACCAAATAGGCAGCTTTCGAAGACGCGCCAGGTGGCGACGTCCGGCCCACATACAATCAAGCAATCTTTACTTAATGCACGTTCTTGTAATGTCCAAATCCTCTGGAACCATGGCCGTGACAGTGTTTCTTTGAGATCTTTCTTTAGACCATCCGAAATCGAAGGACGATCGGGAAACTTGAGAGAGAAATGTGAAAGCTTCTTTTTAGGCGAAGATTCTGCTTCAGCTAGCTCTTGGAAGAGTCGCCGACTTTCAGGTGTTGCTTCTCCGAGATACACCAGAACCCTGTTAGCTGATCTATAGATATCCGCCATTACCTTTACTTGAGCTGTCTGTTCGGATAGATCGTTCTGGTTGATACATATCGCATCGACCCAAATCCTTCGCTCGTTGGTGCGGTGACGGATGTTTACAAGAGCATTGAAACAGTTCCTAGTTATCTGCAACCGGTTGTTCTGACCGCTACCGATGCGAATTGTAGTACGGTTCTTGGGGTTGCCCCACGTATAGGAAAGAGCCTCAAACTTCAACGCTGTGTCAGACAGCCTGAATGTCGACAAGTTGCAACGGAGGGCGCTTGTGCGCCGCTTGCTTGGTTGAATGGACAGTAATCGAATGGAGTCTGGATGGCGTAATGGCCTGTAGCGATAATCGGGGTAAGACATGGAGAGGGCGAAGAAGTAGAAGACTGCTTTCTAGTTAAGAGCAGGGTCGGAAGAGGAAGAGGCATGGAGTTGAGTTTGTCGCACAAGAGGCTTTAGAAATTTGAGGTCACACAGAGGTTAGGCAGCCAAGGCAGTTTTGTTGGGCATACCTCATCTCTCAGCCTTGTCCTGGTCGCCTTTACGCTTTTCAAGAACGTGACTGTTCTCATCTGCAGCCCAAACAGAATGTTTTCATTCCTCCAGTACTAGTACTACTAGTAACGTGAAGAGCTAGAGCATTGTGCATGAGGAGTAGTAGATACCCAACATACTCGAGAAGAGACACCTGCTGCACGGCTTTTTAGAGCTGTTACGGGCACAAAGGACATGACAGATTCGCCATCCGCTTCACCTCCCCTTTTGGCAATGAAGACATGTACATGTACCTAACTATCTGCTAAATCTGGTTTGCTTATTCAGCTGTCACCGCCCGGTCTCTTTCCAGGAACTGGAGGGTGACGTGAATAGTTGAAATTACTTCAACCATGCTAGAAGCCAAGGTAAATAAATGTTCTCTACACTGCCGAATTGTTAAGGGGAGTTGGTAACGAAGGCCCGGCGCACGCCTTACTGTGTAGAGCCCCACCACGCCCGACTCTACCTAGGTAGAGTAGAAATAACGTTAACTCCATTTTCCCGCTGACGGATGCTGAACCTACACCTTATAGTAGAGTAATCAGATCTCATCGCTCTGTAGTGGCATACTCTGTAGTGAAGAACGCGTTAGACTTGGACACTCCTCCACAATGAAAGTACAGCGGCGGTGGTGGTCTGTTAGCGCAGCCGAGCCGAGGGCGCGAGCGAAGTCGGCCGTGATCGGCCAGGTCCGAGTGCCATGCCATGGGTGCGGGTAGAGATTTTCAGATTTCGACCGAGCCCATTGGAAGGCCCTACATAGTAAAGTCTGAGCCAGCCCGACTCGGGCCTGGACTGTCTGTCTGGGCAGATGGTCGAACCGTCTCGGACGAGATTTCCCCACGCTAGCAAATTACTGCATAGTGCTGTATACATAGTGTAATAAATGACGCGAGCTGGGCCGGAGTCGAGTCTGGAGAAGATAGGTACTTTGGGCCTTGTATGGAGGAGTTCTCTGTGTCAGTAATGCCCTCAATTTGTTGTGTATCCAAAGAATTACATGAATAGTTAGACTGAGATTTGCGTTATATTCTATGCCAGTTTGATAGTTCACCTCGTACACACCTACCTATAGGCTATAGAAATCCTACCCTACCCACATGCTGGAAATTGTCTCAAAGAAAGAGTCTCTAGGACGATGAAGGGGACGCTACTCTATGGATGAATGGATCGCTACTGCGTACGCATGTCCACGGCAGCTGATTGCATGTGCTCATCCTCGCCGCGGAGGGATACGGCACTGGTACTGTATCGTACCGTTGTACCGTTGCTATATTCGGGATGTGCCCCCCTTACCCAGGCACATGTGAACATGTGAACACTCCTACCCAGTCCCGGCCTGCTTCCGGCATCCCGAGTCCGCAGGGCGTACTGCATAGTAAGGCACGGCAGAACAGGACAGGGGCCAGGCCAGGGGGTTCGTTCTCATCTTATCAGATTCAGATAGAGATGGGGTACAGTACTGTAAGTGACCGGGTGTATGTAGACACAGAACACGCGTCCATTGGCCCATGGATGGGGATGGGGATGGGGATGGTGCCAGTATAGTAAACGACGGCATATGCTTGCATTGATATCCATATATGTGTATGTATCCATGTAGATGTAGATGTAGGTCGGCGCTGGCCGTACGGCACAGAACAGAACAAGACAGAACAGCACAACAATGAGGCAGCAAGACTCCAGTAAGGCGCCATGGAGGTTGGAGAAATGGTATGGGACATGGAACCGTTAGACTCCTCCTCCAGGGACGAAATGGCCTGATGTTGGCGGCGTGCTGCGGGCACCCAGGCCACAGATCCGCCCAACCGGCATCCTCCTAATGCTCCTAATGCTCCTGATGCTCCTCCTAATGCCTTCCCCTCCCCCACAGCAGGGGAGTCTAGCTTCCAGCTTGTGCAGCAGCTTATTGCCGAAGATGGTATGTAGCTACTAATTCCCACCATAGGCTTAGGCACACACACACACACGCACACACACCTAAGGTAGCGAGGGTAGGTATCCAGGGAGCCTCCGGATCTCGGACGTTCGGCGACTGTCTCTAGAGGGGAGAGAGAGTGTGTGTACTATCTAAGTGTGGGTGGGTGGTGGGTGGGAGCTCGGCGTTTTGCATGTGGCAGCCACTGGGTTGAGCGGATTTAGGCACTGTAAAGTCCTTCGTAGCAGGCCCCCAAAGCGCTAAGAACCCTGGCTTACTCGCTGAGCTTGAACAGTGAGGCCATCCGTTTCACTAACGTTAGTTGGCTCAGAAGGGGTGCTACCTAGGGAGGCGTGTAAGTGCGTGCTAAAAAGGCTGAGGAGGAGGAGGAGGAGCTCGGGTCAGAGAAAAGAGAGAGGAGAGAAAAAAAAAAAAAACCCCTCGACCCGCGTGCATTTATCAGCGCACACACCAACCAACCAACACACATAACATCTCATCTCATCTAGCCTTTTCTTCCTCCACCCTCACCCTCACCACCACAAAATACAAGACAACTCACTAAATAAACACCCACCACCGCCGTATATCTCCTCGCCGCCTGCCTCGTCCGCTCAGCGACGACCGACTTCAGCTTCCCTAAAGCAATTGACTCGGCAATTCGCTCAGCACAACAACCTACAAAGCCTCATCTGTTCCCCCCCTCCCTCCACACGCTGCCGGCGCGCATCTCGGGCACTTCCGGACCTCCGCGACCTCCAGAACAGAACAGAGCAGAGCAGAGCAGAGCACAAGACAGAGAAGACAGCAAAAGCTGCCATTCGCATACGCATACGACGACACACCTTATACAAGTCTATAGTCTATACATCCATCATACATTATCGCCATGTTCGCAACAAAGACTCTACGGCAAGCCGCCGCCCACGCCGAGCGAACTCCCCTGATCCGCTTCATCGGCAAGCGCACCATCCCATGTACGTCCGCTGCCCGCCCTCCTCGGGTGCCATGACACTTCCCATACTCGTTGTATTTTCTCTCCCAATGCCCTCACGACTATTCTTTATTCTTTATTCACCTATAGACACATTAGTGAACAAAACAGCTAACAACCCACCCCAGCATCCGTCGACCACTCTCCCCATCCTCACCCGGCCTCGCCCACCCACTCCCTCCCCGAGAACTTCGCCAAGCACCACGAGCAGGCCTCCTCCCACAGCTCCTTCAGCTCCTACCGCGACCACGCCCAGCAGTTCGGCCCCCTCCGCAAGACCATCAAGTCCCCCGCCGACGCCGGCATCGGCGGCACCCCCGGCTCCGACCTGGGCCCCGTCAAGCCCCCGCAGGGCATCTACTTTGACCGCAACGAGCTGCCCGCCCGCTTCAGGCGCACCACCATCACCGAGGCCGAGATCGAGGCCCTCGAGAGCGGCGGCGCTACTCTGTTCGCTTGAAGAAGCTGGCTGGCCGGCTGAAGAGTCGGTCAGGGGTTGGTATGCTTGCGTGCATGCATGCACGCATGTGTTCACATCTACATCCATTGCAACTCAAACCTAGCTCATGATATGCCACCCACAGGCCATCACGGGCCGGTACGCCGGTCATTGGCTTGAGGAGAGCAGGCAGGGGAAGAAAATGGAAGTGAAGAGGGCGGACGAAAAGAAACTGTGTCGATCACCAGGAGAAGCTCACGTCGTGTGTTATGATACGATACCAGAGTCATGAAGTGTACGACTGGTCGGGTTGGTTGGTTGGCGGGTTTCATGATGCGCACAAAAAGCGGCTTCTTCTTATTCTGGGTCAATCTTCTCCTCTTACTACTCCTGCATTGTTGGGTGGGCTGCATCATCGACAGGACCGGGGAGCCCCCCCTCCCCTCCTGTGAAAATTCTCCTTTGTACAAATTGCCGTGGCTTATATATCCCAGGTGTGCGGAATGGCCGAGCTACAACAGAGTGTTGTAGCCGGAGGGAGAGTAACCACCCAGCCGAAAGGCGGGAATGAAGGGTTCCAATCTGCAGATAGTCCACAAGCGATAGAGAGATATAAAATCAACTTCCCCCAAAACGATCGCCGTGTCCAAGACGACATCAAGTCCATTGGCCGTAATATGAGCTCACATCTGTTTCATGATACATGGTGAGAGCAAGGCTCATACTCGTGTTATATTCCAGCCTTTTCATTACCTAGTATACTAAACAAGACCCTCAACATGTCACATCATCATAAGAGAGCTTATTATCTCATCCACTCCTAGGTGTCAGTCCAGCGTTTGGGCTATCAAGCCGTCAAGTTGTCGGGGGTCTTGGCAATCAAATCCAAGAGTCGAACAGTAATCTTGTCTCGGACCTTGCTGCCAACATTATAAGTCACATCCAATGAAACGAAGCCGGCTCTAACATCATGACTGAGGCCGAGTGGAATACTCGGTCGTATTATTGATCCTTCTTAGGGTGTCTAGTTTATCTATGAGTTGGCTCATCTGCTGCTCTGGCGTTCTTCTTCATCGCATCTCGAATCGCCGCGTCGACAGCCTCCACCAGATCAATATGAAAGAACGGCCTGTCCACACCATGCACAGGAGTGAAGCGATGACCCGGAGCCACTACCCCAACATTAGCTCTCCCTCCCCCGTTCTTCTTCGTCTCGCCGCCAGCCGAGTTGGAGTCGTCCGTGTCCACGTCCTCGACATGCACCTGCGCTTTGCTGGTGCTGCGCTCCTCGTCGCTCGCCCTCAGCAGTGCCTCGAACGCAGCCGCACGCCTCGCATCATCCTCCGTCGCCCCAGCAAGCGAGCTGGCAACGGTGTACGCAGGGGACCAGTTGCCGATGGCGTCGGGGTTGTCTGCAGCGGGGAAGCCAAACCCGGCGACGGCGAGTGCGCGCCGCGTCCACCGGTTCAGGACGCCGGCAAAGTGCCACTCTGCCGTCGACGGGGCCGCGTACCGGTCCAGAGTGTTGCGCAGGTCAATCAGCCCCTGGACGCTGGTGATGTCCATGTTGTTGACCGACGAGCAGTCCAGCACGACGGCGTGTAGGAGCGGCCGCTGTTTGCTGGACTCTAATTTCGACACGGGCTTAAATGCTGGGCCTGGATCGTTCCAGAGCCGGTCCTAGGTGTTATATTAGCCATCATACCAAGTAAACTGGCTACAGTTCGGTAGGACATGTCGTACCTTCGCCTTGAGCCCATCATCTGCTCTGGTCGGTCTTGTATTCTCGAGAATGAAAGACAAGATCTGATCAATGTGATGGGCTTGGTTGACGTAGTTGAAGCCCTCACTGAATCGGTAAATGAAGACCCCTGGGTAGGGAGACTCAACACCGACATTGGGATTGGAGCAGTCCTTCCTGTCCAATGGCAAGAACACATCACGAGCCATATCAACCTCCTTTGGGCCAGAACTCCGACTGTCTTCCACCATCTTGTCGGTGGTCCCCGGAGCGAGGCGATGGACTCGGAGTCTGCCGAGGAAACGTCCCTTGCTCCTGGCATTGCGAAGAAGCAGCAGGGCAAATGAAAGACCAATAGTTACGTATATTGACGTCTCCAGGGACAGAAACAGTGCCAGTACCACGCCGACGATCCAAATGATGAGCTCAAATGGCGACAGCTGCCAGTACCTGTAAAGATTTTTCGGGGGCGTCATGAGGTTGCTCGTGGCATGAATGATGAGTCCAGCAAGGGCGGCTCTGGGTATATAGTAGAAGACCGCGGTGAGAGCATATAAAGCCAGCACAAGTACCATGGCACTTACAAGCCCAGCCAGTGGAGTACGGACGCCCGCCTTAGACAGCACAGCTGAAGCGCCGAAGGATCCGGTGCAAACATATCCTCCAACAAAGGGGCCAAATAGATTCGCCATTCCCTGGGCAAGAACCTCCTGTGAAGGATTGATGGTGTAGTTGAAGATGCGGCCAAATGACTTGGCGATGGCAATGTGCTCAATGATCAGGATGATAGCAATTGCTGGAAGTTCAGGGAGGATCAAACCCACTAACTTGCTATCTAGGACTGGTACACCAGCATGCTTGAACCCTATCTCCTCGTGAGAAGTTGTCGCTAGGTGGTCATTAAGGGGACTTACCTGACTGAATGTGACCAACAATATGAAACTTCGACTCCCCTTCAGGGGATTTCCGATGGACAAGATAACTGATGAATGTGTACAGGAGAATGGTGAACGTCAACCTCAGGGATGATATCATGCCCCACATCCTCTTCTTTGTGGGTTGTCTGATCTCCATCCTCGCACAGACATCACGGATGAAGAAGAGCAATGCGATAGAGGTCAGGCCAATGGCTGCATCAAGCTGGGTTCTGGGCAAGCCTTCGAGCGTGTTGAGAATGACCTTGTAAGGCGCCTCCCTTGTGTTCACTCCACTGATACCAAGTGCTACAGGTAGCTGGGTGGACATGATTGTGATGCTTGCGGCTGTCACGAAAGCCGAGATCGGTACGTAGGGGATGAACTCAATGAGCCAGCCCAAACGAAAGAGACCGATGAAGAGTAGTATGGCTCCAACGATCACTGAGAGCGCCTTTGCTATGTCCTCATTTGCGTACACGCCAGGTTGACGCTCCTGGACCGAGGTCACTACCGATCCGACGAGGAGAGATCCAACAGCCGTTGTCTACTTGAGATGTTAGTCCCGAATATACTTCTCCTGAGAGCATATAGACAGGTACTTGCCCCTATAACAATATCCTTTGATGTCCCGAACAGCCAGTACAGCACCGCACCAGTAAATGATGTGTACAATCCATATTCGGGAGACAACTGGGCGAGCGATGCGTATGCCATGGCTTGCGGAACAACAACCAGACCTACAGTGAGACCTTCAAACGAATTAGTAACGCTGTATTTGGCTCCCTGCTTAATCAACTTACCAGCAATGGCATCCCCGAGCAGCCAATGAAGGTTGTACCTGCCGATCCATGTAGCGGAGGGGAAGAGACTATGAAGATAGTCTGCGGCCCCATGCCGTGTAGGAACGAATTGTCGAAGCCATTCTCCTACCGTGGGCTCATCTTCGAAAAAGACATCTGATGTGGCTTGCCGAGCTCGAACATCGAGGTCCGACGGTTGACGCTTGTACCGCTCGTTCGGGTCAATGTGAAGGATTCGTTTCGTCAAAAACTCGACTGGGGCATTGTTCTTCATTTTCTAGATATGTTTAACAATGACAGGGAGGTGAGCTGCTGTCCTTCTAAATGTCCTGGTGCATTGGGGGCTCGAAGCAGCAAAAGCCTAACAATGCTGAAAACAAGATGATGATGTTGCTAATGTGAAAACATTGATCAGTAGGTCAAAGAGAAGGACATAAAGAGAGCCAAACGGCGGCTACACTCCTGCTTCGGGTCGGTTCGAAGGGGCAACGGAGGGAATCGCCGACGGGAAGGCACCACCTGCGCTGCCAAGCCGTCTCATTCTTCCAAGTTTTTCTTATCTACAGGACCGCAACTCCCTGACATGATTACCGGCACACTTCCAAATGGCCGTGTTGTATACCGCTATATACGGGTCGGGTCCGGTAGTCGGTCGTTCATTGATAGTCCGACCGGGGGCGGTAATCGGGCGGCATCGGCTTCTAATCCGGGATCCAGTCCGGCATTGTGGAACATAAGACCGGTTGTAGCACGAAGAGCGGACTCGAATCTTTGTTCAGTCTTGCGTTATCGTAAATTGAATGAAAGGATGCCGTGGTTCATGGATGACTGTAGTCTTTCGACACTGTACCTCATATTTGAAGGTCTGTAAAAATTAGGGGTAAACCGATCAACTCAATAATGGAGAATTCGCACTTCACAAGACGAACAGGATGCCGTGCGCTAATGGCAAGTCTCGTGGGGTTATGAGAGACTAACCCATGCGATACATTTCCTACCAGCCAGATGGCAAAGCATTGTTCATGGATCGAAGTATGGTCGCAGTAGGTTTCTTCTACTCTCGATATATTGACGAGATACTACATGTAAGTCAGCAGTGAAGAATTCACGGCTCATAGCATCGTTTGAATGTTTGCAAATTCAGCAACTGATTCCAGGGGTTATATTGATGCTTCCGTGGGTACTGGCACAAAAGTGACTGGAGAGTCATCTGAGCTGAGGCGAACGAGTCTGACACGACTAGATCACGAAATCCATCCTTCGGACCCATATCCAGAAGGATAAGAACTAATCATGATGAGGCTGTGCGGTACATTTGCTGTTCATAGCGCAACAAATGGTCCTTTGCTCAGTGTGCTCGGCAATTCTCGCTACGGCATGATAAAAGCCAATCACAGGTATCGGTGACAACTGTTCGAGGTATTCTATACCTATGTAGACACGATTGACTTTCCAGTCGAAGCGCAATCGGGTATAAGCTCTGATCGGGTACCGTCTGATGCATGCAAGTGCCCGTCAGAGGCCAAGCGGAACTAGTAAGATCATTTCACTGGGATGGACGCAAAGCTGCGGCCTCGTAGTGTATCTCGAGAAACAATGAGACCAAGATGGTCGTGGTTCCTTCTCGGTCGTAGTCATGATTGTCGCCGGACAGTGCCACGTAATGACTAAGTAGCCACGTTGTGCTCTTAATACCGAACACTCCTCAGCTCGATACTGGTGCATCAGAGCCAATATCGTCCCCATATTTGGTATTCGTCTTCGGTTCCTCGAAACTTGAAATCTATCTCCACAACATCCTGAAAGCCCTCTTTGGCTTTCGGCTCTTTGAAGCGAGATGCGAACCCATTGAATGCGAGCTTTGGGAGGGAAGTCCTCGACTCGGGGTTCATCTGTCGGACTCAGTATTTGGTTTTATAGATACAATAAAATCGCCCGACTTACCGGTCTGTTCATGGCACGGACGGCATCGTTGTGCTCTGCTATAGGGATCGGAGTCTTGAACCACAGGCACCTGATTGGGACCTTGTTTTTTCTCGCCAACTCAATCCATTGTGCCCGGGTGTCTGGGTCTGCGTTCGTATTATCTGTGCAGAAGTCAGACGGCATTACTGTCATTCGCAGATATGATATAACAGACCTATCGCTACAGAATCACCCTCTGACAAGTGATCGGCTGCCGCCCTGAAACACTTGTCCTTGCTATAAAACTTTTGAGTGATGTTGACGACCCGATAGATCAGCAGGACATACCTCTTCAAGATATCTTGGTTCACGCGCTCGTACCCCAAAGGTTTCAGATACTTCCAGTAGAATGTACTTTTGCCTGCGCCAGGGGAGCCACAGAAGAGGACAATGTCCTTGTCATTCTTCTTCTCAAACAAGGGAGTATTCGTCTCCGTGAGACTTGAGGCGGTGAATGGGTAATGAGTCAGGTCGAAATCCCGCGTAAAATCTCGTGGCTTTTCACCCATAAAGAACTCCTCTGGCGTCTGGTAAGTGATCCCAACGTTGGTTGCGAAATTCCTATCCGAACAGCTGAAATCTTTAGGCACTGCAGTTGCGCCTTTGAGCTGAGCCTTTCGTCCTCCAGCATCCCCAACGAAGATGCTCTTGCTCGTGTCGACATCCTCTTGCGTAAGTCCGTAATCTTCGCAGACCTCCTTCCACATTCCTGTACGGGGCTTACGAAACCCATCCTTGCCCGTTGCAGCGTAGAGTGTAAGGGGAATGTCGAGCTGAGAGAGGACCGCGCTGACCTTTTGCTTGAAGGAGGACAGTCGATCTTGAATCGACTTCTTCGGACCTTTCGCATTTCGATCAGGATGAAGCGTAATGCCGCCTTGGTTGGAAAGAATAACAATTCGGTACCTGAAAATAAGTGAAGGGTTAAAAGCCTATTAACACAATGCATGCACGTAAGAGTTTCACCTACCCATCAGTGTGGTAGAGTGAGCGTAGCTTCGCTGGAACAGACATATCCCACCACTTCCAATCTGTCGGGCTGTCGGCATGCTTCTTGCCAGAGGCGCTGGTGATCAGAGTAGAGTCCTGGACAGAAGGTCAGCACTGGCCACGACCATGCTGAACAGCCCAGGATGATCAGCTCGTACCAGGTCAAATGCCGCTATTCGCCGTCGTTTTGTCGCCGATGTGTCTTCTGTGCCCTGTGTCTCCTTTGCTGCGTCGGGCTCGTATCGTGCGACCAGCAAGGTGGCCGGGGTGTCGTTGTCGGGTGCTCGTTCAGACCAGACGACGCGGTCCTTGGGCTTCTGAGAGGTCGGAGTAAAGAAACTGGCAACAGCATTTTCTAGAGACGGATTATGAGTTAGCATTGGGCCCAAGCTGATGAATTAATGCAGGCAGTGTTGTAGTTGGGAGAAAGCCATCAACACCAGTTTGGATTTCATGGTGAAGAGCCTGCTTGGATTCGACGGACTAGGCGGGAACAAAACATACTGGTGACGGTGCTCTGTATCTTACGCTTCAGAGGCGGAGGCGACACTGAGGGGTCATTCTCGTCGGCCGCCCGCTTTCTGGGGACTGGTGTCGGGGCCATGAGATCGTTGTGTCTATTCACTTGGAGGACGAGGACGGATTGCCTAATGGTATTCGACTGCAAGAGAACCGGCCGGCAATGCGCTGGTCAAGATGAGACAATCATTGCAGATCTGCACCTAGTGAAAGCCCAACGTTGCGCAGGCCATGGCACCATGAGGCATCCACCGTGATAGATTCGCTGAGGCACCGCTCGATTGCTGAGGTGAGGTAATTCAAAGTAGAAGGGCTGGTAGGTCGGGTACAGTATCCTCTCAAGCTTCTCGACGAAATGTCTACAAATGTTTCGAACCGCGCTGGTACCCCACCAAAGCCATTGGAGCGAGACGCGGATGACACACGGAAAGGCGTGCCAAGTCATGTGACTACCCAGAGGGCACCCTCTCCGCCAAGTGTACCACAGTAACTCGTACTGTCTATTCTCACCCAAAATGCTATTGGGAAATCTCGGGGAGAGATCTCGTACTCCCTTTACTCCATTGAACCCAGGGAAAGATTGGGGGTAACACGGGATCTGGACAGGCACAGTCCGAATCGATCCCGAGATACGCCCATAATCTGATCACACAAATAGGACGCTGCTAAGAAGATCCTGACTGAAAAGCTTACTGCAGACCAGAACCCAGAGAAAAAAATGCATGCATGATATACAAGGATTTTAGGTTCTCTCTTGGAACGAGCTATCACATGATGTGCCTGGTTGCACCTAGAACATTTTACTCCTGGGTGAGCTGCAACTAGTGCCTCTGGGTTAACAAGGATACGAACTTCTATACTCTAAGTAGTCTTTTTCAAGCTGGCTGTTATAGCTCCTTGAAGGATTCTGGTGATGAATCTAGTTAGTTCTAATTGCGTACAGGCCAGTGCATACCTACAATAACACTTCAGTCGTATGTTTTGTCGATTCTGTGGTTATCAGGCAACATGATCAGATTTTATGTCGTAATACAATGCCGAGGGCTGGCCGTGACCGGACAGAGACCCCACAATCCTTCCTTCTCGCGGCTCCGGGGAACCGGGGCATGTGTCGGGGGATTCACTCGTCCACGAGGAATGCCCCGGAGGTTTCCTCAGTCATAATCTGGAGATTCCGTTGCGGTCGCCTGGGGACGGCCCGACTCATACGAGAGTACCGGTACAGCAATCTCTCCACGTTCTGGCCGCAAATAAGTCACTGGACCAGATGGTCAAAGTCGCGCGCAAGGTGGATGTTTTGAAAAGTGACACGACAGAAAACTGTGCTCGCAATCAGCTTCAGTTGGCATCAGAGGCTCAACCATTGCGGTGTTTGAGATAGGTCAATATTCCAAGTTACAGGTGGCATCCTTCAAAATGGTGGGCACAGAGCTTGCAGTGACCGCAAGACGATGGGCCAATCCGTTGCCTTACCAGGCGAGTGGTGCGAGACGATCGTGAACAAAATGAGCAGATCAATGGTAACCTTCTCCTGTCACTTTAACTATTTTGGTTGGTTCACGGGAGAGTAGCAGTAAGATCTAGATACAGACACATGTACAGGTACTGAACTGTACCATACTGTACGATGCGAAAAGTGAAAAGGCTCGCATGACTTGAGCCAGTCGTCAAAAAACCATCATAAAGGCACCTTTTGAACCTCAAAGGCTCACATTGAGTATCGTTAGAGTATCATCAACGGCAGCAGGTGAAGTGCAGTCTCGAAGACTTCAATCCTGCAAACCATGCCGGTAGTGCATAAGAGCACAAGCCTGCCGTCTTGGCTTCTTGGCTCTGCCAACGGCTCACTCGCAGCTGTCAGTTGCAGTCTTGTCCTGCATCATGTGTGTTGATGTCCTGGGCTATAGCAGACTAGTCCTTGTCGGGCCACCTTGTGCCGAGGCCATGTTGTCTTGTTTTTTTCGCAATGAGATGCGATCAATGGTTACGTCTCGGGCAAATTGGGCACCGGTGCAACGTTGGTTCGCTCCCTCAGCGGACGGGGCAATCTCCAGACAACGCGCCGGTGCTTCAACCAGTTGCGGTTCGGCGTCCTTCGATTAGGCTTCTCGAGTCATTTAGCGTCAATCAAACCCATTCGATTCTGCTACACCGTACTGAGTAGGGAATCCGGGGCGGGGCGCGGGGCCAACTGGGGGAAGGTTGCCGTCTTCAAAAGTCGTGCCTTGTATTCGGTCCGTTAGCGAACAGCCCTGGGTTTGGCGTTTCTGGTCTGGTTGTCAGCCCCATGCCGTTCAAAGCCTGTCGAAGACTACTGGTGGCGCCATGATGTCACACATCACTGCTCATCAACGCACGTATAGTCCATCGTAGTCTGCTCTAATGCATGGGAGGCATTACAGTGTACAACTTGGCTGCCGTCATCCAAGCGCAACTTACTGCATAGCAGCCTCTAGATTAGCCAGAAGAAGCCAGTCGGGCGATTTTCTCTAAATGATTCGAAGGGCACTACCGGACGCCACTGACAGATGAGCTGGGGGACGCTGGTCTTGACTGCTTGTTGGTGGGTTTGATCGGGTGCGCCGAGACAGAGCCTCTGGGGAGCATTTGGACGGTTGATTGATGATTCAACTTCAGCACAGAACAACCAACGGACAACAATGGCCAGTCTGCCCAGATAGAGTAGAATCCTACGTACAGTACATGGAAACACAATGCAATTTGACTGGCTTGACAGCGAGTCAGATCAGCAGGTGCAACACTCGACGTGCCACGAGGTGCTCTAGAAGGGAAAGTGGAATCTGGGCAGTCCGCCTTTGTTTGCAGATCCTGGAGGGCTGCGTGATTCTCTGGTTGGCTCCCTCATCTACAGTATACAACCTGGGTGGGATGCTCACATCAATTTGTTATGCGGAGTAAGCCGCGCAGTGACTTGCCGCACGTAGAACTGTGGCACAAACTGGCTTGAAAGGGCATGTCCCCAGAGTTCATTGCGACCCAAGATTGGGACGTAATCTTCTTTAAATCCGAAATACTCACGCGCCAGCATTGATGGATGATCATGAAAGCTTGCGGCAGGTGAAGAAAGGACTGGGGGGAGCTTGGGGTATAATGTGTGATCCCAGCCAAAAAATACATAGACATTGTAGGTAGGTAGATGTCCGCTGCACGTTGGCGACGGCTCCGGAACGGAGGAATGCACACGGAAAATGGCATGGAGACCCTGAGAGACCCTCGTGTAAGTCATGCTACGGGAGAGCCAGAGTGCTCCACAGGAGACGATCTCGCCGCACCAGTCAATCATGGCTCTGTCCTCCGAATCGTTGGTGGCCATCAAGAAAATAGCATCAGAAAGCGTGTCACTGTCAAAGGTGGGATGGTGTCAATGCCAATTCCACTGCCAAGCTATGCAGAACGGCCTTCAGACTTGGGAGCCAAGCTTCAGAACGGCGTGCAAAAGTCCATCGAACCGTGGCACCCCACAGCGAGGATCGGCATCGTCATGTCCAGTCCGGGGGCGATTGGCTCGGCGGCTTTGTGGAGCGAAGAGTTGAATCCTGCTCCCTGGTGCTCTCCATGGGGCAAGTTGCCTTCCTTGAAGTGTTCTCCAGCTTCTAGTGTCTGGAATCTGCACGCCTGACTTATTAATGCACTTTTGCAAAGCAGATGACCGTCACGTTTCGTATCCCATCAGCAAGCGGCCTGATGCGTAATTGTGTGTATAGATGCACATGTACATGCCCCTGTCCTTAGAGCGAGCTTCATGGTGAAGGTCGCTTACCATCCTTTTACCACTGCTGTCCCTAATTAATTTCGTGGATACAGGTCAGCTTCAACAATATGCCAGTAGTAGATCTATCTATTTGAGACTTTGATGTAGCGTCGTCACTGGTGTGGTGAAAACGGACAGATCGTAAGGGCAATAACAAGAGACCAAGAGTCTACGCGTACATAAGAGAAGCCCGGTTGTGGAGTGCCGACGCCGCCCGCACCTTGCAGGTTGCCATTGACGCCATTCCCGCAGCCACCATTCGTCAAGCCCTGGTCTAAACGATCTTATTCCCTGCTCGCATAACATCGGACAGGGAAAGACAGAGAGCATGTGCCCGCCCCACTAGAGACTCTTGTTCTCTTCAAACCAAACAAGCTCCCCATGTCACGTCAATTGCGAAGTACCTGTAAGAAAGAGTCGCCCGCTCAATCGGACTTGGTCTGAATTGGGTTGAGGAAACAAGTTGCGAAGCCAGCAGTAGCTTAGTCTTGAGTAGGGATATGTCCAGGTAGCGAGAGCTAGATGTGAAAAGATACATGGAAGGTGGAGTTACACTTCACAAACCGCCCGTTGGCTACTCTACGGCTAACGGTACTTTCTCGGACCTAACTAACAAGACGTGACTGTCAATCAGGTCAGCTCGAGGTCAGGCAGTAAGAACCACGCAGTACGTATCCTCCGCGCCTTCCCCTTTCCACCCCACCATGACCACCGTGACGGAGATGGAGCCATGGATCCATGGATCCATGGCCATCACGCAGGTGGCTCTTCAGCGGAAGTCGGGGCCGAGGGTCGATCCCCAGGTCACCAGGAAACCAGGGCCAAAGGGTTTGTAAACCTTGACCGTCTCCCGTTCTCGTGGTAAGTATTAATATCATGGATGTCCCCCTCCATGTCCCTCGGGAGCCTTCCTGTGTCTCTCCGTTGCCCTTTCACCCTACTGGTGTCTCGTCACCTTGAATACATACCATTGATACCCTCTTCCTAGAGGTTGCGCCCAATATGCACTTCCCTAAAGTCGGCAACATCTACTTCATTGCCGCCGTCGCTGTCATTGGTAAGTAGTCCTTTCTCTCCGTTGCGTACGATATGTCGCGCATTCCCACCTTGGTCTTCATGATGACCCAGTGCGCATGTGCATACAACATGGCTAACTTGCGCTCGTCCAGGCGGCGGTCTCTTTGGCTTTGATATCTCGTCCATGAGTGCCATTATCTCAACCCAGCCGTACCTGTGCCAGTTCAACCAGCGTGGTATAGATAAAAATGGCAAATGCCTAGGTCCCAGAGACGATGTCCAGGGTGGCATCACTGCTGCCATGCCTGGTGGCTCGTGGCTCGGAGCTCTGGTCAGCGGTTTCCTCTCCGACATTCTCGGCCGCAAGACCTCCATCCAGATCGGCTCCATTATTTGGATCGTTGGCTCCATCATCACCTGTGCCTCAGTCAACATCCCCATGCTTGTCGTTGGCCGTATTATCAACGGCTTCAGCGTCGGTATCTGCTCTGCTCAGGTCCCCGTCTACATCTCTGAGGTGTCTCCCCCTTCAAAGCGTGGCCGAGTTGTTAGTCTGCAACAATGGGCCATTACCTGGGGCATTCTCATCATGTTCTTTATCTGCTACGGCTCTTCGTTTCTCAACGGCGATACCGCCTTCCGTCTGCCGTGGGGCCTCCAGATGATCCCCGCCGCTCTCTTGTTCCTAGGTCTTCTCTTCCTCCCTGAGTCTCCTCGATGGCTGGCGAAAAAGGACCGCTGGGAGGCCGCTCACAGCGTGCTTACCCTCGTCCATGGTCGCGGCGACCCCAACTCGCCATTTGTTGCCCGCGAGCTCGCAGAGATCCGTGAAGTCGTCGAGTTTGAACGTGCCAACAGCGATGTCACCTATCTGGAGCTTCTACGTCCCAACATGATCAACCGTACTTCCATCGGTCTTTTCACCCAAATCTGGTCCCAGCTAACTGGCATGAACGTCATGGTATGTTCCCATACTAATTTCGCACAGTCAACAGCAGTACTGATTTGCTTCTAGATGTACTACATTACCTATGTCTTCACGATGGCAGGTCTCGGCGACGATGTCCTGCTTCCCTCGGGTATTCAATTCGTCATCAACGTCGTCATGACAGTTCCCGCCCTGCTCTGGCTCGACAGATGGGGCCGTCGCCCAACTCTCCTGGTTGGCGCGTTCCTTATGTGCCTCTGGCTCTGCGTCAATGCCGGCCTTTTTGCCGTCTACTCTGTGCCGCCATACGAGGGCCAGTTCCAGTCCGAGTCCGAGTCCATGAGCATCACCGGCCCACCGGCGAAGGCCATCATTGCCTCCACTTACCTGTTCGTCGCATCCTACGCCCCAACTTGGGGGCCCGTCTCGTGGACCTATCCTCCAGAGCTGTACCCCCTGCGCCTCCGTGGCAAGGCTGTCGCTCTGTCCACATCTGGTAACTGGGCCTTCAACTTTGCCCTGGCCTACTTCGTCCCTCCCGCCTTCGCCAACATTACCTGGAAAACCTACCTCATTTTCGCCGTCTTCTGCTTCGCCATGTTCTGGCACGTATTCTTCATGTTCCCAGAGACCGCCAACAAGCCCCTCGAAATTGTAGATGAGATCTTCGATGACACGAAGCCAGGAGCCATCAAGTACATCGGAACCCCGGCCTGGAAGACACACAACGACCGCAGCATTATTCGCGCCGAGCGCAATGAGATCAGCTCCGAGGAGAAGCTGGGGGGTTTCGAGCACCACGACAACAAGCCGGAGACCCAGGTCTAAACCAAAGGATTGCTATGAAGTGGTGGAAGATATATGGTTCGCCAGCTGGTGTTGGTGAATAATCCTGCTCCACATATTGGACATCCACTTCCAATATTGGCTTTTCCCAAAAGCCGTTAATATGAAGTAGAATTATGGATAGCCTTAGTTAAATTATACCCATGTCAATTTGATTGAAGTAAACTCATCTAATTTGAGCGTTGATAATTATGTTTCGCCACCTTCTTCGTGTGTTTCGTAGGAAATGCCAAAATTCGCATGGATGCTACTCTTATAAAACCGAAGTCATTCGGAGAAAGCAAAGTAACATGATGTGCAAATAATGTCTCCGTAGCGTCTACGGACACGACATAGGTCGTTATGCTGATGCGACTTACCAAGTCATTTTGCTCTGTTCAGATGAAAACGATACAACACAATTGTTTATTCATACTGCCTAATTGCCTGCCTCCTTTTTCGTGTCAACTCTGGCCAGCTTCATCTATGAAATAGATAACTGCACGAGCACATGAGCATTTGGGTCTATGCCAGGACTCGGTAGACGTCTAACATTTGACGAATCCAACTGAAGAGGACTTGGTACACTAAACTTTTTCATCCGTCAAACAAAGCAACGAGTCATTTAGGAGGTCGTAAATCGAATCTTAAAAGAATAGCGGCGCGTCTGACTCCTCCCTCGAAGGAGTGACACATGCCAAATCATGAGATGTGTTCAAAGAGGTTGGAGGTCCGAGTGGCGAGGCTGATATAAAAGCCGGTTCTAGTCTCTTGACTATGCCGCTTGATGCCTCGTGCCTTGACATGACAGGGGTAAGGTCTTGAATAAAGATTGGAGTTATCACTATGCCTCCCAGAGTGTCTCCAGATGCCGAAACCTTAGAAGAAGAAGCACCGCGCGCCTCGCCTTCACTACCACCAGCTCATGATGCGTGGATTCCTAATACCGGAGGTCCAAGGCCAGAGAGAATTATCATTAAAGGACGCCGAATCGTGATCAACCTTACATGGGTGCCGGGCGCGAGATATCTCAGGTACGAATGCATCAACAGCGCCCAGCTGCGAGAGGACAACCCAGTAGGAAACGGAGTCGGTCCAAACTATGTTGTGCCACCAGAGATCAGACCCATCGTTGGCGAGCTGGGTTTGATAGGAGTCGACATCGACTGGAGCCGGAATTCCCAGGACATGGTGTTTCTCTGCGGTTGGCATCTTGCCCGCGTAAACAACAACACTCGAAGGCCCAATACACCCGTGCCAGATATCTCATGGGCCTTGGCGTCTTTCTTGAAGAAGTTCAACTACATTGTGATACCATCAATGGACGCAAAACTATTCACGCATGCATGGTTACAACCTGACAATATCCAGCATCCAGGACTCTGCATTACCTCCATTTTCAACGACTTCTTTGCGGACACTGAAGAGGATCCTCGAAAGTTTCTTGTGTTTCATGTGCACAGCGGAATGTCCCTGCTGCCCCCGGGCTACGCCAATGACGAATTCATAAGGTTTCTAGGTCCTGCCGAAGCGCCTGTATTTCCTGTTCGCACTGTAAGAAACATCGTAATGCCCCATTTGAGTTACTACGCAGGAGGATTCCAAGTAATTCCTCGCGATCATGAGGCTCCACTCGAGATTAGATGGCGTCGACGGCTGCGGATCGCTTGTGATTATACTCCGCCCAGGGATTAATCTTTGGTTCATAGAATTCTACTTAATGTTCGTGGATCCTTGCAGTCCAGAGCCGGTCAGATTCCTACATGTTCTGTTTAACATCCCAGTAAACGTGACTTTCAAGCAAGAGCAAAAGTCTCCTTGCCCGAAATCCGGTATGCAACTCCGGGAGTCCGTTCACTGATTTAGACCGGCAAACGATTAACTTCGATAGATACCTAAGTAGTATCATATTCTATGTCGTTTTGTTTGGCTGGGCTAGAAGCAACTTGAACTGCGGCTGTCTCTAACCGTGCCTCCTGTGCCTAGCCGAAGGAGACACTACCTGCGCATTCCAGCGCATCTATATGCATGCCTTGACTGCGCCGCCGTTGACAAACCTGACCCTGTCGTGATTATCGTGAGGTACGCTGTCCTCAACCATCACAGGACGTTTGAACGGTGTGTGACAAGCACGGACTTCCGCCGCAGGTAACCTCCCTTTCTTCCATAGCCTCTCTTCTAGAAGCCGCCGACGTCAGGTGGGCTGAGCATGCCGGAGACAGTGTGTCGCAGGGCCAGACACGTCTGCCGCCTGCCGCCGACCCCTTAGCGCCACGTGTTTCGACTGTCGGGAGCCATGTCGTCGTCGGTGGGTGCCCGGGCAGACGAGATGTTCGGCAGCAAGGGGGCTGAGTGGCTGACAAGATGCTAACCACCATTGGCACACATCACAATCGTCGACGGTCCCTGGTCGTCATGTTTGCTTCAGACACGATAGGCAGGCAGGCGAGCAGATTGTTTAGTTTGTAATGATTTTGTTTTGTTTGACGGCTATGCCTTACATAACAACAGCTATTCTGAGGCTTCGTGACACGATCGCTGATGCTGGGGGTTCCGAACGCCGTGCTTCCCACTGATGAGACGAAGCACAGCGTCAGCATCGCATCAACCCCGTCCATTTTCCGTCCCTCTTGTACTCTGCACATTGTCTTGCGCAGATCCTCAGGAATATATGTATATATCTTTCTCGCCAGTGGGCATTCATACATTGATGCGGTGTACAACACGGCAAACCACTTTATGCCTCGCCTCGCCTCCTCCACCTCGGCTCGTCCTTCCTGAAAACCCAATTTAAACATGCCGGTAGCCTCGCGACTCCGTACGAGATCAGTATCTATCTGTGACATGCCGCGAGCCGCAAGGCTTCCTGGTCCGGCGCCCCATATCTATTTTTCCCCTCCGGTCTTTAGTCCCACGCGCCGGCTGCCGTATGTACCCAAAGTAACACGTGTGTTTTTAATAGTCTCAAGAAACCTCTGTGAAACGCCCGTTTGTTCAAATTTGAGCCTTGCAGCATCGTCGCTTGGCCCACTGTAACTAGATACAACAAGAGGAGGCGTCAGGGGTTGATACACCCCATACCCATAGCCACCATAGTGCGGGCGACGCCGAAGCTGGCCCCGGGCCAGAATAAACATTTAGTCTAAGTAACAAGAAGTTAAGTGCGATATCATAGCAGGCTTGCCATTGCTAGTCACGCATAAGAAAATCAACAAGGGGGTGAAAGGATAGTTGCGAGTACAATCAGAGTAAAAATAGCAAAGAGCATGCCTGTCGAGGCTGGTCGTGGTAATGAATGACTGAAAGCTTGGTGGGTATCCTTCGATGTAAGACAGGAAACGAGAAAAGGAAGACGTAGAGATCGTGAAACAAGATGCAGATCAAATCTAGTTCATCAAGTCGTGTGTGGTCATTATGTAGATGGCGCCGTATCCTCGGGCGTCCTTGCGGACTTGGGTTGCGGCACGATAGATCGATCGACCTAGGTATTGTTGCCGCTGGCCGCCTCTCACTTGCGCAGGCCAACCTTGCCTGCCAAGTTCTTCCAGAACCTGGATGCGCCGTTCTGTCTCTCTTCAATGCCGTGTTCGCGAACCATGACGGCGTCTCGCATCATAGGGCCAACTATGTCAACATCTCCGAGGTCAGGGAATTTGCCTTCTGCGTCAAGCATCCCCCTAGGCACTGCAGCTGGAGCGGCGTCTTGTTGGCGCATGCAATGTAGTTCAGCAGCATCGCTGTTTCCCATCGCTGCAATGAGTTCCATGACAGTGTCGTGCGCGACCTTCCACTCCTTCTCGGTCTCCGTCCACTTCGCCTCGGTTAGAGCGTATGTCTTGGAGGTGGTACCGTAGTGCTCTCCTGTGCGCACGATATGCTTGGTGAAGTTAACCCTCGCTTGATCCCAGTCGGCCCGGAACAGGCGGAGAGAATCCAAATCAGCGACCTCGGGCACGTATGGCTTTGGCATGATGGTGTAATTGGCGTGGCCGAGGCGGTCTGACCAGGAATCGTACGGCTCGAGCAGGTTAGGAAGAGCTGCTGCTGCGTCAACTGTGGTGATGACGGGCGCAGACAGACTGCTGATGAGCGGCGGTCGGAAGGACGAGAAAGATGGCTTGGTGCTGAGTGGTGGCGTCGCATACATGGTGGGAGAGTTGAGCTCCGAATTAGACAGAGGTGCGACTGTAGGCGACTGCAGTGGAGATGGAGGTTGCGACTGATTCTGGGACGAAGGGATCTGGGTCATGAGAGGTGGTAGAAGAGGAGTTGTCGCCAGAGCTCGCTCTCGCTCCAAGCTCCGCCGAACGTTGGCTTTCTCGATATCCAAAGCGACCGGAAGAGCGACACTTTCTGTGCTGTCGTAGAAGGACAGCGCAGGTGTTGGTGGCAAGGGGGGTTCGTTTGTCCTATCAGGCGCTTTGCGACTTGGCGCGGAGAGAGAGGATGACCGACTAGAGGGAGCGCGAGATAGAGTCGAGGTGTGCTCGAGCGATGGCTCGGAAGCGGGCGTGAAGGTGTGGTTGGAGCGCTTTGACGACCGACGTCGATAGAGCGAAGGCAGCCTCGAGCCAATGCGCGTCGCCAGACCCGACAGGGGCGAGTCAGCGCCGTTGCGGCGCTTCTTTGTGGTGGGCGAGGTGGCATCGATGTCTCCGTCACTCAGGAAGCCTATGTCGTAGTCGATATCATACTCGACCTGTCTCCATGTCGCACTCTGAATCATGTCTGATTCTTGATGAATACAAGGCTCGTCACCTGTCAATGCAAGATAATTAGTCAATGCGCCAAAGCCAGGACTAAAAACAAATGAGGCACAGCACGTACATAGGCAGTCGTACAGGCCGAATTGATCAGCGAGGACGGCGGAATCTTCATCTTCGCGCTCCAACGGGTCCTCCTGGACATCAGGTAGGGAACGCTTTCCTGACTTGGTGCTGGTGGTTGTGCCGCCATGAACGAGTTGACTGGGCGATGCGGGACTATCGGCGCATGACGAGGACGAAGGTGGTATCTCAAGGGACGAGGTCGAGCTTGAAAACCGAGCGTGGCCGCCGCGCTGGGAGAAGGTGGGAGTCAGAGGCGAGGCGAGATCGGACGAGGAAGAATTCGCATTGGAGTAGGTGAAGGAATTCGTCGTTGTTGTTGTGATTGTTGTGCTCACGGTAGAACTCGAAGCTGCTGTGGGAATCGCGTTGGCCCCCATCGCTTGGCCGTCGGCGTCCGTTTCGCAGACGGGTGTTGTTGGTGATGTATGGAGTTGTTGCAGCTGGGCCATCTTGTCTCGCGCCTCCACCACCTGGGGCAGGATCAGCGGTCGCAGCTTCGGCGACATGATCGAGACGTCGTCCGCCGTCGGCGATGCTGCGGTCGGTAGATCGATCGACTGGTGTCTTGTTGGTATTGTGTTGGTATTTTGATGTTGGTAATGCCGCGACTTGGTGTGTGTTCGCGTGTGTGACTGCTGCGTCAATGTGGGTGCCGGCGTGCCAACATCAACAGCAGTGCAGGGTCGATCACCAACTGACCGAACCTGAAGATCGGACAGACAGCAGTCGAAGTGCGACTGGGTATGGCGTGGTGCGTGTGAGGGTGAGGGTGAGTGTGTGTGAGAGAGAGAATCGGGTGCTTGCTTGCTTGGCCGTGGGCGGCGCAGATGGTGAAAACTTGGTGGTTGGGTCTAGGCCCGGGCGGGTGGTAAGTTAGGGGTTAGGTAAGCAGGCTAGGCGTTAGCGCCCGCTAGCCGGAGGGAGCGCACGCGGTACAACGGCGCACCTTCTCTTCAGGGCTGGATCGGGTCGGGTCAGCCAGTCAGTCGGTCAGTCTGCGATTGAGTCAGGCACCCATCCTATACAAACTGTACGGCACAGTGCACTGCAAAGAGTGGCAAGATAAGAGAAAAGAGAATGGAAAATAGTGTGAGGCGATTGTAAGGGAAGACACCAATTGAAAAATAGGTTGAGAGCTCGCATTAGAGTAGAGACTAACTAATAGTCCCCAGGGGTGAAGTAAGATAAGTAAGGTAAGGCATGTTGAAGGGTACCTCACTCCCATTTGAAATGCAATGCGGTGCGATGCGATGCGATGCGACGGGAGAGAGAGAGAGAGAGAGAAACAGAGACATACAGGCACCTGGGCAGAAGAATGATTGGCTATTGGCTATTGGCTATTGGCGATAGAGGCCTGACCTGAGGAGGGAAGACAGAGGAGGGAGGAGGGGAACGGGAAGACTCAATGCGGGGTGCGGTCTCTCTGCTCTCTGGGACTTTGGGGTGGGAATGCTGTACCTCGATGATGAGAATGGTATGGACTGTACGACTCACCTGCGCTGGGGACCTGGACTAGTGTGAGATGATGACCTGCGTCTTCCCGTGTGGTGTGGTGTGGTGTGTGTGTGTCTCGCCGAAGCCGAAGGAGAAAAAGAAGAAGAAGGACTTGGATGTTGGTGATGATGATGATGATGATGATGCGTATGATGGGTACAGTACCGCACTTGGAGGCGTTCCGCAGGCTTTCTTTTGATCGTTCGGGGCGTTCTCTTGCTTCTGCTTGTGCCGTCTTCAGTCGCGACAATCTGCCAGTAGCTTATCGATGTTATGTTTAAGTAGCTGAAATGGCTATGAGTCGTGGCTTGACTTTGATGTTTCGACCTCAATCGCAACACGGGATTGTCTCGGTGTCTATTTTGGTGGTGACGGTTTAATGTGTGTAAGACGGCGGCCCGGGCGTGTGGATGTCGACAGCCGGTTTCCGGGGAGTCGAGGATTGGATAGATAATAAAGAACAACAACAGCAATACTGTATCGCAACAATGATAATAGAGAGAGCCGCAACAGAGGAAAGAAGGTTCGTCTGTCCCTGCTGTTCGATGGAATCGCCTTTCCCAAGAGCAGGCTTCTATCGTCGGGACTTATATCAACAAGTTCCCCACACTCCTCAACCAGACCCTTTTCTCATATAATGTACGTGTGAATGCACGGCGTCAGTGTGCTGGATGAGAGGCAAGTCCTTGGCCGTGATTCTTCGCTCGCTACTGTGTCCCCCCACACTGAAGCTGCACACTCAAGCCCTTGAGTCTTTAATAGATCCTGTCGTGCTTGCTCGCTTCTTTCTCTTCACTTCTCGCTCGTCTCAAGTCGTGGCTTTCGCGGCCAGAGCCCAGTCACCAAGAGTGGGTGCAAGTGGTCACGGGAGGCGGTTGGGAGCTGCAATGCCAACACGTCCCCTGGTGGAATATGGCCTCCCCCCCTCCCCCTCGAGGCTTGAGAGAATCAAGTCGCGACGCGGCAGTCCCAGGCAGGGCAAGGCCAGGCCACTTTTGTCCTGATCCCCGAGAAGCTCTTCAAATAGACGCGGGGCAAGTTGGAAATGGCCGCGATACGTGGTTTGGTTTGCACACCTACGTATCCAGCGCGTCAGGGGTGTCGCACACAGCAGCTGGGTAGCACTGGTTCCACGTGTAGTTCGGGCACGGTAGCTTGCTGCGTGAAGGTAGCAGTCGGGCGGCGTGGGCAGCAACCAACAGGGCCCTCGTCGTCCACCGCCTTTCGTGAGGATCGAATAGGAATGCGGATGCTGTCGTGTGGTGGTTGCGCCCGTGCCTTGATTCCAAGCAAGCCAACCGGCCGGGTGAGCCAGCAAGCAAAGCAAGCAAGATCAACTGGGGGTGCAATGAGTGAGCTGTCGTCCCCGGAGCTTCAGGTTTTCGTTTCCGTGAGGTTGCCGGATTGCCAATCAAATCGTCTGCAGCTGTCTACTCTGAAGCTGTCCCAAAAGGTCGGGCCAGGGAGGTCTCTTCTGCACGAACCACCAGTCCGCAAGCTATCCTGGCTCTACTTGCTAGTCTGGTATTGTCTGTTGTTCCTGGAGCTTTGCTCAACAAGATCGATTAGAGCACCTTACGCACACATGAATCGTTGTTTCCGAGACAGGATTAGGTTTTGGCAGAGTAGGACTGAAAGATTCTGGGATTTGAAGTTACGGACGGCTGGTTGATGCACACGTGAGCCAATGGTCTGGTAATTATTAGCCGACGTTCAAGTCGTGATATCCTCGTGATATCCTCGTGTAAGTCGCTCTGCCCTCGCAAAGCACCTGAGTACGTTGCTGTTGCTTCTCCACAGTTCGGATGGCCAGCACAACACAATAGACTGGATTAGAATAGATCAAAGATGACCGAACGGGTATGAAACCGACGGAAAGGGACAGCTCCAAGAGCAGGACACAGCAGTCTGTGGTAGACGCACAGCACCTCCAACTGAACCTAGGGCGAGCCACGAAGGTTATAGAGGCGACACTGCAACGTGCGGAACTGATGGAGGCCGAGCCGGAGGGACGGCAGCAATGGAAAACGTGTGCAAGCCTGGTGTGGGTGGATTAAGTGCTACCCAAGTGTGCTTCTGCCCTGACAGCCAGGCGGGGCCCCAAGCGACTTGGTGCTCCCCAATGCCTAAGCTATCCTTGGACTGGGCCCAGGAGAGATGCTACTACTAGAGTGAATTGAGGGACTACTGTAGTCTCAATGCTCTCTCGATTGTGCCAGATCCTCTGGGTGCAGCTATGCTCCTCTCGTCTGTAGTCCTCCGTTGCCTATTAGTAAAGTGCCAGTACAAGTCAAGCTTCTTTGGTCATAAACGCCAATTTTGTTGCAATGCAGTAACTACTGTCAGCTACCACGAAGTTGCTTAGCAAGTGGGCTATGGTGCAGTCCTGGAGACAAGACTTACTGGTTGAGGTCACTCGGGCGGAGTAGTGCCTAGCCAAAGTATCATCTCTGCCAGTGCGAGTTAGCTGAGAGGGCTCTGCTTGCCTGTCTAAGCGAAATAATCGCATACCTGAGCTACAATTCCCTGGCCCGATGATTTTCTTTTTTATCTGGTGTCTCATTCAGATATGATAAAAGCCTGCTTGATCCGCCTACACAGCCGGAGAACTCTTGTACCCCTCACGTTGTTTTACTTTTTAGAAGAAATGAGAAGCCACGGGCGCAAACACTTCATAATGTGCCACAATTGAAGGGGGAGCTGATTGCGTTCTAGGAACTGGCACTATGGAGACTCCATTTATATTGAATGAGCTGTCACCAACTTATTTCGTTGATATTTACGAGGCCTTTCACATGCGAGAATGTCTGATGCTACTTGCACC